CTAGAGATTTTATACTAGCTTCTTTATTATGCTAAAGCTAGAGATTTTATACTAGCTTCTTTATTATGCTAAAGCTAGAGATTTTATGCTAGCTTCTTTATTATGCTAAAGCTAGAGATTTTATGCTAGCTTCTTTAATATGCTAAAGCTACATATTTCATACTATCTTATTTATTATGCTAAAGCTAGGGTTTGTATCTAAAGTTATAGATTTTAATTTAAAAGTTAATTTGTCTTGTGCTGTGTGCACCTCATTTCTACTGTTCTGTAACCAATGGTGCAACACTGAAATTTCCCAGAATATAAAATTTCTTAATCTTAATCCTCTGATTTGAGCGGCAGGACCCTGGAAAAAAAAGTCTTATGTATTTTAGAGACATGGAGTTTAAAGGAAATTCATAGTTCGATTGTGCTAGATTGTGACAAAAACCAAATACTAAAGATATTAAAGATTCAAGTGAAAGTTCTAGAGCGTTACGGACGTCTCCCTCGGCGACAACATTTCAGACTAAACGAGAGAACACACACGAGATCTGAATCATTTTTCTTATTTAATTGATTGCAACACATTTAACCACACATTACAAAAAAAATCCACAAATATTTTTATCAGGCTCAGTTTGCAACCATATTTTTCTTGAAAAAACAAAATCTACCAAAAAATATGGTTTTACAAAATAAGATTTATAATAAAGTAAATGCCACTTTGGATAACTGTAATCAAAACCCCATCTGTATTCTACATACAAAAGTTGGACATAAATAAGTTAGTATAATTTCTCAGTGTTTTTACAAAAATTATGTACAAAAAAAAGGTACATTATGGGTTTACACAAACACACAGGCACTGGACACATCCCACACTCGGCATCAGCAGGAAAACCAAAGGAGATTAGGATTAAATTATGGGAATTATGGGAATTTTCTTGGTTCGTTTTATCACAAAGTCGGACAATGTGAAGTCGTGATCAGGAGCAACCATGGATTTGGTTTTGTAAGACAGTTTAACGCTTGGCATCCCAGAATTGTGACGCACTAGAATTCCCGGAGCAGTCGTTTTGCCGGCTCCCAATCCAGTTTTTAACCCTTTCTATCATCCAAATGAAGCAACTGTTATGGCAACGTTTTTTGTTTCACTAAAAATGAATTAACAAGTTTTAGTGTGTATTCTTTAGGTAAACAAATTCCCCAAAAACCCGTCAAATTGACTGCTCCCATTCCAATAATATTTTCCACTACTTTTATTCAAATTAAGCAATACTGTTAAAGCAAATTTTTTGTTTAACTCAAAAGTATATGAACAAGTTTTGGCATGTATTCTTCGGTAAACAAATTCCCCCCCAAAAAACCGTCAAATTGACTGCTCCCATTCCCATCCAAATAAATTATTCCACTACTTTTATTCAAATTGAGCAATACTACTTTAGTAACATAAAAAAAAATATATGAACAAGTTTGAGCATGTATTTTTAGGTCGACAAAAATGTTGCTTAAACAATATTAATATGAATAAGCAGTGGAAAAACGTTTATCGATTGGATCGGGAGCAGTCAATTTGACGGGTTTTTTAGTCTTGGAACTTGCTGTATCTTAAGTTATATACACAGTTTTTAGAGCGCAACTTGAGATACAGCAATTTCCAAAAACAACCCGTCAAATTGACGGCTCCCATTCCAATCAATCAGTTTATCCACTACTTCTATTCAAATTAAGCCAAAACTTTTTCATACAACTTGAAATACATTCTAAAAAAATAACCGTCAAATTGACTGCTCAGGAAGCTCTAGTGTTTAACCGGTACCAGGTACTTTTGTTTAGTCCCCTTTCGGTCCTGGTTCTATTGAGATGTTTCCATGGATACTGGTTTGTTGTGGGTTGCTGGGATACAGTACCGGATACTAAAGCGTTAGCGAAACGCAACCAGGCGGCGCACAAACAGGCAGACATTAGCACTTTATGGTCCTTCAAAGTGACCGTAGCTCGAACGCAGAGAGACCGACTGTGGCTCCAGCCGCTGCCGGTCGCTCTGTGGGAGACGCAGCTGAACTAAACTAATACTAAATAAATTAAGGGTTAAACGGACGAGGACAGAGCGAGACGCAGAGAAGTCGTTATGGCGGGAGGTGTGTGTAAGGTGTGTACGGAGAATTCAAAAGTCCCCCAAAAAAAATCTTGTGCGAATGTTTGTGTATGCTCAGGTCTGTGTTTTTTTAAATATATATATTTTAAATTATTGAAATATTAATTAAATTCACTCCGTATTAAATAAATTAGGGGTTAGAAGGACGAGGACAGAACGAGACGTGGAGAAGTCGTAACGGCAAAACTTGAGCTTGTGGCTGAAACAGTATGAGTAAGTATAAGTATGTGTATAAGTGTATAAGTGTATGTATAAGTATGTGTATAAGTGTATGTAGTGTATGTATAAGTATGTGTATAAGTGTATGTAGTGTATGTATAAGTGTATGTATAAGTGTATAAGTGTGTGTATAAGTGTATGTATAAGTGTATAAGTGTATGTATAAGTATGTATAAGTATGTGTATAAGTGTATGTATAAGGAACTATGTGTATGTATATATATATATGTGTGAGTATGTAGAGCACCTAAAGTCCCAACTTCAAAACAATCTTGTGGGACAGTTTAGGTTTTTATATATTTTTTTTTAATAATTGAATTATTCATTGTGAACAGAAATCGACCGATCTCGAGACGAAACGCTGCAGACTAAATAAATTAAGGGTTAGAAGAACGAGGACAGAGCGAGACGTGGAGAGGCCGTGGCTCGAGGCTGACGTGAGGGAGAAGCGCTGAGCTACATTAGTACCGTACTTCAGGAGGAGCGACGGCACACGGACCGCGAGAAACCATGATTCTAAACCGTGGCAATGCGTTCTGGGAAAATAAACAAAACCCAACAGCATTTGGAAAACATTTCTCAAACTACACTGCAATTCTTCAAGTTAGATCAAAATTCACACTTTTCAAATCATAATGTTTTATGTGCTACATATGGAGAGAAATAAAATATTATATATATATATTTATGTACACACAGGTAGTAAAAATGAGCAAACAAGTAAATCCAACCTAATTGCACACTGCTACATCGACTGCTTTCAGAGTGCCACAACTTTAGTGTGTTTCTATTCAGTGCTTCAACAGCGTCCTCCGTCTTCGGGAGATGATATGTTTGTGGTGCTGTGGTCCTCCTCCCGGCGGCCTGCGGGCGCACAACGGCTCAGGTTACAACACACTCTTGCACAAACGCACAGCGCGCACAATGGTGTCACTCGTTATCTTTGGAGGCAGAGGAATAATATGGAGGAGTTAGAGAGAGAGCAAAGCTGAGTAATGAGAAACAGAGGCGCAGGGAGTAATGGGGCTGCAGGAGAGAGACCAGAGAGACCAGGAGGTAAAAAGAGAGAGCAGAGAGAGAGAGAGAGACCAGAGAGAGAGACCAGAGAGACCAGGAGGTAAAAAGAGAGAGCAGAGAGAGAAACACACAAAGAGACAGAGACACCAGATAGAAAGAGCAGAGAGACAGACACACAAATACAGAAAGAGACAGAGACAAAGGGAGCGGCCAGAGAGAAAAATGGACCAAAAGAACAGAAAGACACACACACACACAGAGTGACCAGAGGGTAAGAGAGAGACACACACAGAAACACACACACACACACAGCAGAGCCAGCCCCTCCCTCCCTCCTGCTCTGAAGGCAGTGGCCGCTGACGTGTTACTACACTGTTGTTCAGCAGACTTGTTTACAACACTCTCATACTCATCCGCGCCGTGACTCAACACACACAGCACCACAACAGCCCCTCGCAACACAACATCTATCTGCTGAGGTACAAACACATGATTAAAGGGAATGGACGACGGCGCGAGGACAGAGTAGGTTCTGCACACGCGCAGTGGGAGGAGACCTGACAACGCCCTGAATCTGAGACAACAACAAAAACACCTCTGTCCACGCAGCACGCACTACTACTACTACTACTACTACTACTACTACTACTACTACTACTACTACTACTACTACTACTACTACTACTACTACTACTACTACTACTACTACTACTACTACTACTACTACTACTACTACTAAATCACACAAGCAGAGAGGTTGCAGCAAGGTTACTACTACAACAACAAATACCACCACTACAGCAGATTCTAGTACTACACATACTGACACTACAGCAGATATTAGTACTACACACAGGTACTAAAGCAGATACTAGTGCTATACATACTGGTACTACAGCAATAAATACTACTAATACTACTCCAAATACGACAGCAAATACAACTACTGCTATACTACACCACATAATACTACAGCAAATACTTCTATTACTACCACCACCGTTACACATACTATTACATCATCAACAGCAGATACTACCACTTCTGCAGCAGATACTACTACTTCCACACCATTACACATACTACTACTACAGCAGATACCACCACCACTAAACATACAACACATAGTACCACAGCAGCAAATACTACCACAGCAGCAAATACTACCACAGCAGCAAATACTACCACTGCAGCGCTGAAGAGGTGACATAACACATCCGAACTCAGACACACTCCCTCGACAGACGACATTTACATTCACAGTTCTCCAGGACGCATCCCTCTCTCTCTCTCTCTCTCTCTCTTTCCACTCTCTTTCCCTCTCTTTCCCATCTTTGCCTCTTACCAGTCTTACGTCTGCCGTGTGGGGCTGCTCTTTCTGGGAGTGCGCTCTGCAGAGTGGCTCTCGCTGCCGCCGTGTGACCTCTTGCTTTGGGCCGAATGTTCTGTAATACACAATATTTTTTTTATGAATGAGTGACTACTGCATCAACAGAGGCAATACCAGATGGGGGGGATTGGATAAATATTATGGACCAGTTCTTACCATGGCACGCGTGTCTTTTCCTCGCCCCTGCGCAGTCCTTGTCCTCGGCCGTACTCCCAACAACACAGCTATGATTCCCATTCATATCCACATGGTTATTCCCAGCCGTGCACGCTTCCCCCTTCTCCCGGGAGTGGGAATGACGGTGATGACGGTGCGGCTGCCGGGTGTAAAAATCAGGCACGGTCCTACAATCCACCAGCTCCCAGGTTATCCGAGTATTCGCGAGAATCGGTGCGTCGTTGGCGAAGTCGAAGCTCCACTTGTCCGACGCGTCTGCCTCCAATTCCCGCAAGTGCACTTTTAAATCCCGGTGGAGCTCTTCGTGGTCCACGGAGGTCCCGAAGAGGTTCCTGCAGGCGGAAGGCTTGGGGTGCTCTGCTACCCGGGGATCGGTCCTCTCCAGGGTCGGGCTGGCGTTGGACAGGCGTACGTCTGACATTATTATAAATACCACCACAAGTACTACTACTACTACTACTACCACCACTACCACTACTACTACCGCCCCTAGTCTCCTCTCCTCCCGTGAGCCCAGCGGTGTAAAGTCCCAAACAAGGCGGGCTGGTGACGCTGGCAAAACGGCGTAAAAGCGTGGTCCTGGAGGTCTGGGAGTCGGTGGAGAAGGCTCCCGTGGTAGGTCCGGTAGTGGTCGAAGTCTGCGGACTGAGCATCGGTGCCCAATATGGCGATCGGGACGCGGACTGTGGCGTGGGGAAGGGAAGGAGAAGCCGACTGCATAAAAGGGGGGGAGACGAGAAAATGATTGACGCGGCTATTTAACTGGAGAGAGGCGTTGTGATTGGTCGGAGCGAGTGTAGAGCCCGCCCCCCTGGTGACGTCTGTAAGGTGTGGGCGGGACGTAAACAGAGGGACGTCAAGGCATGTATGTGATTTTAAAAAAAAGAAAAAAAAGACAAAATAGTTATTTAGCACTAACATTATTTAACATTATTTACTCAGAACTAAAATTCTTAGTATATACGTTTTAGTTTTTTTCCTTTACTGTAAAATAAATTTGATAAAAACCTCAAGACCTCTATACTATAATGAATTAAATCTCAAACTTTAGCATAATAATGTTTCAGATTTGTTTTGAATGATAACAAATCTTCAGTCTCTCAGTTGATAATAGTCCTCTTCTCTGTTTTTAAAAGTTTTGAAAAAGTACTTATTTAACCTCCTCCATCCCCAGCTTCCCTCTTGAGCCTGGTCCTACTCTACTCTACCCTCATTGACAACACTTTCTTTCACCTGCCTTGGTTGGCGTGGTCCTGGTTCTATCCAGGCTGAGCTGCTACTAAAGAGTTCTGACCGAGAGAGATTGGCCAGAGTGCTGCTGGAAGCCATGGTTACCAAGGAACTTCCCCGAATACTGGTTTCTTGTAGGTAGATTGCTTGGATACAGTACCAGATACTACAGCGTAATGGAAACACAAGCAGGTAGAGTAGAGCCGAGTAGAGTAGAGAGAGGGAGAGAGACCAGAAAGGGAGAGAGAGACCAGAAAAAGAGAGAGACTCTGGTTAAGAGATTTAAATATAAAAATAAAGTTACTCATTTCTGTATAATTAAGTGGCTTTTTGAAAGAAGTCTGTAAACCTTTTATTATAGCTGGAACAATTATGCCCCCTAGTGGTCATTCTATCAAACTGACAAACAGTCAACACCCGTTTTTAGTAAAAATACAATTAATTTATTTTCAGACATAATTAATATATGTACAAACAAAAGCCTGTATACAGATGCACAAAGCTAACCCGCTAGCTCAATGAACCCCAAAAGGGAAGTGCTCATGGTGAAGTTTTGCTCCAATTCGCTCTGGCTACTGTTGACTTGCATTGAAAAGTAAAACTCCTCCATCTCAGTAACGGTTTGTATCACACTCACCGTTTTGGGTTTAAAATATCTGTATTTTATCGCTCTCTGTGATCCCGGTGTTTAAATGTTGATACTGTCTTTGTAAATCCAGATACGAGCCATATAAGGACAGACAAATCAGCCGCCTTCATTCGTAGGAGAAACTCCAGCTTGCCTTAGCAACCGTCCTAGCAACACTTGTTATGGCGCAAAGCTAACAGTATCAGAACAAATGCCCATATAAGGAAATAGGCTCCAGCTAGCTTATGTTTGAACTGGCTTCTTCCACATTAAGGCTAACACTGTGGTGATGTCACATTCTGTCCGTCCACTGCTCATAGTCTCTCTGGTCTCTCTCTCTCTGGTCTCTCTCTCTGGTCTCTCTCTCTGGTCTCTCTCTCTGGTCTCTCTCTCTGGTCTCTCTCTCTGGTCTCTCTCTCTCTGGTCTCTCTCTCTCTGGTCTCTCTCTCTCTGGTCTCTCTCTCTCTGGTCTCTCTCTCTGGTCTCTCTCTCTCTGGTCTCTCTCTCTGGTCTCTCTCTCTGGTCTCTCTCTCTGGTCTCTCTCTCTGGTCTCTCTCTCTGGTCTCTCTCTCTGGTCTCTCTCTCTGGTCTCTCTCTCTGGTCTCTCTCTCTGGTCTCTCTCTGGTCTCTCTCATAGACTCAGCCACTTGATGATGTAGAAGTTCCTCTTTCCGACTCGGAGCAGGCTGAGGCCGTTGGACAGGATGTGCAGCTTCGGGACCAGCACTCGGTCCGGGTCGTCGGCTCGGAGGTGGTTGATGTGGACTGCGCCCTCAGAGATCATCCGATGTCTTTCGCACAAACACACAGAGTTAGAACTTTAAAGCTGAGGTTCGCAACTTTCAAATCACACAAAAAATGACAACGGTGGTTCCTGGTTTATTGGCGGGGTTACGTTCTAAACACCATCAACCGCATAAGTGTCGTCCTTCTGGTCTCTCTCCCTCTGGTCTCTCGCTGGTCTCTCCCCCCCCCTCTCTCTCTCTGGTCTCTCCCCCTCTCTCCCTCTCTGGTCCCTCCCCCTCTCTGGTCTCTCCCTCCCTCTCTGGTCTCTCCCCCTCTCTCTCTCTGGTCTCTCCCCCTCTCTCTCTCTCTCTCTGGTCTATCTCTCTCCCTCTCTCGGTCTATCTCTCTCCCTCTCTGGTCTCTCTCCTCCTCTCTCCTCTCTGGTCTCTCTCCCTCTCTGTCTCTCTCCCTCTCTGGTCTCTCTCCCTCTCTGGTCTCTCTCCCTCTCTGGTCTCTCTCCCTCTCTGGTCTCTCTCCCTCTCTGGTCTCTCTCCCTCTCTGGTCTCTCTCCCTCTCTGGTCTCTCTCCCTCTCTGGTCTCTCTCCCTCTCTGGTCTCTCTCCCTCTCTGGTCTCTCTCCCTCTCTGGTCTCTCTCCCTCTCTGGTCTCTCTCCCTCTCTGGTCTCTCTCCCTCTCTGGTCTCTCCCTCTCTGGTCTCTCCCTCTCTGGTCTCTCTCCCTCTCTGGTCTCTCTCCCTCTCTGGTCTCTCTCCCTCTCTGGTCTCTCTCCCTCTCTGGTCTCTCTCCCTCTCTGGTCTCTCTCCCTCTCTGGTCTCTCTCCCTCTCTGGTCTCTCTCCCTCTCTGGTCTCTCTCCCTCTCTGGTCTCTCTCCCTCTCTGGTCTCTCTCCCTCTCTGGTCTCTCTCCCTCTCTGGTCTCTCTCCCTCTCCGGTCTCTCTCCCTCTCCGGTCTCTCTCCCTCTCCGGTCTCTCTCCCTCTCCGGTCTCTCTCCCTCTCCGGTCTCTCTCCCTCTCCGGTCTCTCTCCCTCTCCGGTCTCTCTCCCTCTCCGGTCTCTCTCCCTCTCCGGTCTCTCTCCCTCTCCGGTCTCTCTCCCTCTCCGGTCTCTCTCCCTCTCCGGTCTCTCTCCCTCTCCGGTCTCTCTCCCTCTCCGGTCTCTCTCCCTCTCTGGTCTCTCTCCCTCTCTGGTCTCTCTCCCTCTCTGGTCTCTCTCCCTCTCTGGTCTCTCTCCCTCTCTGGTCTCTCTCCCTCTCTGGTCTCTCTCCCTCTCTGGTCTCTCTCCCTCTCTGGTCTCTCTCCCTCTCTGGTCTCTCTCCCTCTCTGGTCTCTCTCCCTCTCTGGTCTCTCCCTCTCTGGTCTCTCCCTCTCTGGTCTCTCCCTCTCTGGTCTCTCCCTCTCTGGTCTCTCCCTCTCTGGTCTCTCTCTTTCCCCAGCGTTACTGTCTTTCTGCTGTGTTAAATGCACAGAAACACTTGTAAACTGAGCAGTTCTGCAGTCTCTGTAGTGACCGACTCTGACAGGGGGTGCTCTCTTACCCTCGCGGACCCTCAGGGATGGCGTGGACTCTGCGACAGGCGTCCAGCACCGTGGTCCCGGGTTCGAAGAGCGTCTCCAGGAACGGCGCCTCCCTGAAGAGCTCGCGCAGCTCCTCGTCCGTCATGTTCTCCAGCGCCTCCACGCTGCTGTGGAAGAGCGCCTCTGTGCACCTGAGGCAGTTAAAACACAGATTGTATATAAACGAGTGGGCGTACTTTACTTAAACAGGAGAGAAAAGAGAAAAGCCCTGTTTCCACCAGACACGCTCGCCTCTAGATCGGATTGTGTTTCTGCCATGCTTTAGTTTCTGCAACCGTATTCAGCAACCTACTCACAATAAAACAGTATCCGGGCATAGTCCTCGGTGAAAGGGAAGAGAGAAGAGGAGAGGGAGGAGAGAGAAGAGGGGAGGGGAGAAAAGAGAAGAGAGGGGAGAGAGAGAAGAGGAGAGGGGAGAAAAGAGAAGAGGAGAGGGGAGAAAAGAGAAGAGGAGAGGGGAGAAAAGAGAATAGAGGGGAGAGAGAGAAGAGGAGAGGGGAGAGAAAAGGGGAGAGAAGAGAGAGAAGAGGAGAGGGGAGAAAAGAGGAAAGGGAGGAGAGAGAAGAGGAGAGAGAAAAGGAGAGGGAAGAGAGAAGAGAGGGGAGAGAGAGAAGAGGAGAGGGGAGAAAAGAGGAGAGGGAAGAGAGAAGAGGAGAGAGAAAAGGAGAGGGAAGAGAGAAGAGGAGAGGGGAGAGCAGAGAGGGAGGAAGAGAGAGAAGAGGGGAGGGGAGAGCAGAGAGGGAGGAAGAGAGAGAAGAGGGGAGGGGAGAGCAGAGAGGGAGGAAGAGAGGGGCAGAGAGTAGAGATGAGAAAGAGGAGAAGAGAGAAGAGGAGAGGAGAGAGAATATGAGGAGGGGAGAGAGGAGAGAACTGGCAGCAGAGGTCTAATCAGTGGCGACATCTAGTGGCCACACTGCACACTACACTTACAGAGAGTGCGTTGGTCTAGTGTGGGTTTGGGTTTGAGAGGTTTGAGTGTTGTCTAAATACAAAGTACAACCTGCTGCAGTTTCTTCGTTGTTTAGTCAATAATAGTCGTTTACTTAATCAGAAGTATTCAGAGATACTTGTGTCTGTATATCTTGTTTTGTGTGCTCCTTGTGTGCTCATGCTACCGTTCTGCAAGTGCCTGCAACACTGACATTTCCGTGTGTTATCTTAAACCTTCCCATAGAACTCCTCGAGGCCTCTGCCATAAAAAACAAAAAAGCACTAGAACAAAACAGGACGACAACAATGGCGCCGTGTGGTGTTGTGTAGGAGATGAGAGAGAGGAGAGAGAGGAGAGAGGAGATGAGAGAGAAGAGGAGAAGGAGATGAGAGAGAGGAGAAGTGAGGAGAAGGAGATGAGAGAGAGGAGAAGTGAGGAGGGTCGGGAGAAAAGAAGAAAGGAGAGAGAGAAGGGGTGAGATTGATCAGGAGAAGAGGAGAGGAGAGAAGTAGAGATAAGACAAAAGAGGAAAGACGTAGAGAGGAGAGAGAGGAAGTGATAGGAGAGAAGGAAAGAGAAAAAAGGAGAGAAGCGATGGAACAGGAGAGAGAGAGAGAGGAGAGAGGACAAGAAAAGAGACAGGAGATGAAGAGACAGGAGAAGAGGAGAGAGGAGAGAGAGGAGAGGAGAGAGAGGAGTTGAGGAGAAGCGGAGAAGAGGAGAGAGGAGAGGAGAAGAAGAGGAGTTGTATATTGTGTATACAGTGGCACCTCTTGGCGCTCTCCAGCCCGTCCTTCCCGTGCACCAGCTTCACCACCTCCGCAGCCAGTCTCTTGTGAGCCAGACGCCTCCCGGGCTCCTCCCTCTGCTGCTGCATCAGCCTCTCCACCTCCGCCAGCGGCAGGAAGGTGAACAGCCTCAGGAACCTGCGGCCGGTCACACACACCATCAAACATGTCCTCACTGGGATTCACATTATTACAGCAGCCAATCAGAGCGAGGCCTTTACCTTTCTATGGTCGAGTCTGGCTGTCGTAAAAAGAACTGGTACAGCTCAAACGGGGAGGTCTTGTCCCGGTTCAGCCACACGGCGTTGCCCGCCGTCTTCCCCAGTTTGTCTCCGACGGAGCTGGTGACCAGTGGGACGGTCAGGCCGAACACCTCCTGCCCACTCACTCTGCCACAGGGACACAGCACAGAGGGCTCTAGAGGGTTTCACACAACACTGGGAAAATATATGCTACACTCGGGTCCGTCCCACTCGGGTCTCTCTCTCTCTGGTCTCCGTCTCCCTCTCTCCCTCTCTCTGGTCTCCGTCTCCCTCTCTCTCTCTCTGGTCTCCGTCTCCCTCTCTCTCTCTCTCTGGTCTCCGTCTCCCTCTCTCTCTCTCTCTGGTGTCCGTCTCCCTCTCTCCCTCTCTCTGGTGTCCGTCTCCCTCTCTCCCTCTCTCTGGTGTCCGTCTCCCTCTCTCTCTCTCTGGTCTCCGTCTCCCTCTCTCTCTCTCTGGTCTCCGTCTCTCCTCTCTCTGGTCTCCGTCTCTCCTCTCTCCCTCTCTCTGGTCTCCGTCTCCCTCTCTCTCTCTCTGGTCTCCGCCTCCCTCTCTCCCTCTCTCTGGTGTCCGCCTCCCTCTCTCCCTCTCTCTGGTGTCCGCCTCCCTCTCTCTCTCTCTGGTCTCCGTCTCCCTCTCTCTCTCTCTGGTCTCCGTCTCTCCTCTCTCTGGTCTCCGTCTCTCCTCTCTCTGGTCTCCGTCTCCCTCTCCCTCTCTCTGGTCTCCGTCTCCCTCTCCCTCTCTCTGGTCTCCGTCTCTCCTCTCTCTGGTCTCCGTCTCCCTCTCTCTCTCTCTCTCTGATCTCCCTCTCTGGTCTCCCTCTCTCTCTGGTCTCTTTCCCTCTTTCTCTGGTTTCTCTCTCTGGTGTCTTCATCTCAGGCTTCTTTCGCTCTTGCCTCTCTCTAGCTGGTCCCTCTTTCTCTTGTTTCTCTCTCTAATCTCTCTCTCACTGGTCTCTTTCCCTCTTTCTCTGGTGTCTTCATCTCTCTCTGGCCTCTTTCGCTGGTCTCTCTCACTGGTCTCTCTCTCACTGGTCTCCCTCTCTTGCTAGTCTCTCTCCCTCTCGCTGGCCTCTCTCTCCCTCTCGCTGGCCTCTCTCTCCCTCTCGCTGGCCTCTCTCCCTCTCTCGCTGGCCTCTCTCCCTCTCTGGCCTCTCTCCCTCTCTCGCTGGCCTCTCCCTCTCTCGCTGGCCTCTCTCCCTCTCTCGCTGGCCTCTCTCCCTCTCGCTGGCCTCTCTCCCTCTCTCGCTGGCCTCTCTCGCCTCTCTCGCTGGCCTCTCTCCCTCTCGCTGGCCTCTCTCCCTCTCTCGCTGGCCTCTCTCCCTCTCGCTGGCCTCTCTCCCTCTCGCTGGCCTCTCTCTCTCGCTGGCCTCTCTCGCTGGCCTCTCTCCCTCTCTCGCTGGCCTCTCTCCTCTCTCGCTGGCCTCTCTCCCTCTCGCTGGCCTCTCTCCCTCTCGCTGGCCTCTCTCCCTCTCGCTGGCCTCTCTCCCTCTCGCTGGCCTCTCTCCCTCTCGCTGGCCTCTCTCCCTCTCGCTGTGGCCTCTCTCCTCTCTCGCTGGCCTCTCTCCCTCTCTCGCTGGCCTCTCTCCCTCTCGCTGGCCTCTCTCCCTCTCGCTGGCCTCTCCCCTCTCGCTGGCCTCTCTCCCGCTGCCTCGCTGGGCCTCTCTCCCTCTCTCGCTGGCCTCTCTCCCTCTCTCGCTGGCCTCTCTCCCTCTCTCGCTGGCTCTCTCCCCTCTCGCTGGCCTCTCTCCCTCTCGCTGGCCTCTCTCCCTCTCTCGCTGGCCTCTCTCCCTCTCGCTGGCCTCTCTCCCTCTCTCGCTGGCCTCTCTCCCTCTCGCTGGCCTCTCTCCTCTCCTGGCCTCTCTCCTCTCGCTGGCCTCTCTCCCTCTCTCGCTGGCCTCTCTCCCTCTCTCGCTGGCCTCTCTCCCTCTCTCGCTGGCCTCTCTCCCTCTCTCGCTGGCCTCTCTCCCTCTCTCGCTGGCCTCTCTCCCTCTCTCGCTGGCCTCTCTCCCTCTCGCTGGCCTCTCTCCCTCTCTCGCTGGCCTCTCTCCCTCTCTCGCTGGCCTCTCTCCCTCTCTCGCTGGCCTCTCTCCCTCTCTCGCTGGCCTCTCTCCCTCTCTCGCTGGCCTCTCTCCTCTCTCGCTGGCCTCTCTCCCTCTCGCGCTGGCCTCTCTCCCTCTCTCGCTGGCCTCTCTCCCTCTCTCGCTGGCCTCTCTCCCTCTCTCGCTGGCCTCTCTCCCTCTCTCGCTGGCCTCTCTCCCTCTCTCGCTGGCCTCTCTCCCTCTCTCGCTGGCCTCTCTCCCTCTCTCGCTGGCCTCTCTCCTCTCTCGCTGGCCTCTCTCCCTCTCTCGCTGGCCTCTCTCCCTCTCTCGCTGGCCTCTCTCCCTCTCTCGCTGGCCTCTCTCCCTCTCTCGCTGGCCTCTCTCCCTCTCTCGCTGGCCTCTCTCCCTCTCTCGCTGGCCTCTCTCCCTCTCTCGCTGGCCTCTCTCCCTCTCTCGCTGGCCTCTCTCCTCTCTCGCTGGCCTCTCTCCCTCTCTCGCTGGCCTCTCTCCCTCTCTCGCGCTGGCCTCTCTCCCTCTCGCTGGCCTCTCTCCCTCTCGCTGGCCTCTCTCCCTCTCTCGCTGGCCTCTCTCCCTCTCTCGCTGGCCTCTCTCCCTCTCGCTGGCCTCTCTCCCTCTCTCGCTGGCCTCTCTCCCTCTCTCGCTGGCCTCTCTCCCTCTCTCGCTGGCCTCTCTCCCTCTCTCGCTGGCCTCTCTCCCTCTCTCGCTGGCCTCTCTCCCTCTCTCGCTGGCCTCTCTCCCTCTCTCGCTGGCCTCTCTCCCTCTCTCGCTGGCCTCTCTCCCTCTCTCGCTGGCCTCTCTCCCTCTCTCGCTGGCCTCTCTCCCTCTCTCGCTGGCCTCTCTCCCTCTCTCGCTGGCCTCTCTCCCTCTCTCGCTGGCTCTCTCCCTCTCTCGCTGGCCTCTCTCCCTCTCTCGCTGGCCTCTCTCCCTCTCTCGCTGGCCTCTCTCCCTCTCTCGCTGGCCTCTCTCCCTCTCTCGCTGGCCTCTCTCCCTCTCTCTGGCCTCTCCCTCTCTCGCTGGCCTCTCTCCCTCTCGCTGGCCTCTCTCCCTCTCTCGCTGGCCTCTCTCCCTCTCTCGCCTGGCCTCTCTCCCTCTCTCGCTGGCCTCTCTCCCTCTCTCGCTGGCCTCTCTCCCTCTCTCGCTGGCCTCTCTCCCTCTCTCGCTGGCCTCTCTCCCTCTCTCGCTGGCCTCTCTCCCTCTCTCGCTGGCCTCTCTCCCTCTCGCGCCTGGCCTCTCTCTCCTCTCTCGCTGGCCTCTCTCCCTCTCTCGCTGGCCTCTCTCCCTCTCGCTGGCCTCTCTCCCTCTCTCGCTGGCCTCTCTCTCCCTCTCTCGCTGGCCTCTCTCCCTCTCTCGCTGGCCTCTCTCCCTCTCTCGCTGGCCTCTCTCCCTCTCTCGCTGGCCTCTCTCCCTCTCTCGCTGGCCTCTCTCCCTCTCTCGCTGGCCTCTCTCCCTCTCTCGCTGGCCTCTCTCCTCTCTCGCTGGCCTCTCTCCCTCTCGCTGGCCTCTCTCCCTCTCGCTGGCCTCTCTCCCTCTCTCGCTGGCCTCTCTCCCTCTCTCGCTGGCCTCTCTCCCTCTCGCTGGCCTCTCTCCCTCTCTCGCTGGCCTCTCTCCCTCTCTCGCTGGCCTCTCTCCCTCTCTCGCTGGCCTCTCTCCCTCTCTCGCTGGCCTCTCTCCCTCTCTCGCTGGCCTCTCTCCCTCTCTCGCTGGCCTCTCTCCCTCTCGCTGGCCTCTCTCCTCTCTCGCTGGCCTCTCTCCCTCTCGCTGGCCTCTCTCCCTCTCGCTGGCCTCTCTCCCTCTCTCGCTGGCCTCTCCCTCTCTCCCTCTCTCCTCTCTCGCTGGCCTCTCTCCCTCTCGCTGGCCTCTCTCCCTCTCGCTGGCCTCTCTCCCTCTCGCTGGCCTCTCTCCCTCTCTCGCTGGCCTCTCTCCCTCTCTCGCTGGCCTCTCTCCCTCTCTCGCTGGCCTCTCTCCCTCTCTCGCTGGCCTCTCTCCCTCTCTCGCTGGCCTCTCTCCCTCCTCGCTGGCCTCTCTCCCTCTCTCGCTGGCCTCTCTCCCTCTCTGGCCTCTCTCCTCTCTGCTGGCCTCTCTCCCTCTCTCGCTGGCCTCTCTCCCTCTCTCGCTGGCCTCTCTCCCTCTCTCGCTGGCCTCTCTCCCTCTCTCGCTGGCCTCTCTCCCTCTCTCGCTGGCCTCTCTCCCTCTCTCGCTGGCCTCTCTCCCTCTCTCGCTGGCCTCTCTCCCTCTCTCGCTGGCCTCTCTCCCTCTCTCGCTGGCCTCTCTCCCTCTCTCGCTGGCCTCTCTCCCTCTCTCGCTGGCCTCTCTCCCTCTCTCGCTGGCCTCTCTCCCTCTCTCGCTGGCCTCTCTCCCTCTCTCGCTGGCCTCTCTCCCTCTCTCGCTGGCCTCTCTCCCTCTCGCTGGCCTCTCTCCCTCTCTCGCTGGCCTCTCTCCCTCTCTCGCTGGCCTCTCTCCCTCTCTCGCTGGCCTCTCTCCCTCTCTCGCTGGCCTCTCTCCCTCTCTCGCTGGCCTCTCTCCCTCTCTCGCTGGCCTCTCTCCCTCTCGCTGGCCTCTCTCCCTCTCGCTGGCCTCTCTCCCTCTCGCTGGCCTCTCTCCCTCTCGCTGGCCTCTCTCCTCTCTCGCTGGCCTCTCTCCCTCTCTCGCTGGCCTCTCTCCCTCTCTCGCTGGCCTCTCTCCCTCTCTCGCTGGCCTCTCTCCCTCTCTCGCTGGCCTCTCTCCCTCTCGCTGGCCTCTCTCCCTCTCGCTGGCCTCTCTCCCTCTCGCTGGCCTCTCTCCCTCTCGCTGGCCTCTCTCCCTCTCGCTGGCCTCTCTCCCTCTCTCGCTGGCCTCTCTCCCTCTCTCGCTGGCCTCTCTCCCTCTCTCGCTGGCCTCTCTCCCTCTCTCGCTGGCCTCTCTCCCTCTCTCGCTGGCCTCTCTCCCTCTCTCGCTGGCCTCTCTCCCTCTCTCGCTGGCCTCTCTCCCTCTCTCGCTGGCCTCTCTCCCTCTCTCGCTGGCCTCTCTCCCTCTCTCGCTGGCCTCTCTCCCTCTCTCGCTGGCCTCTCTCCCTCTCTGGCTGGCCTCTCTCCCTCTCTCGCTGGCCTCTCTCCCTCTCTCGCTGGCCTCTCTCCTCTCTCGCTGGCCTCTCTCCCTCTCTCGCTGGCCTCTCTCCCTCTCTCGCTGGCCTCTCTCCCTCTCGCCCCTCTCTCCTCTCTGCTGGCCTCTCTCCCTCTCTCGCTGGCCTCTCTCCCTCTCTCGCTGGCCTCTCTCCCTCTCTCGCTGGCCTCTCTCCCTCTCTCGCTGGCCTCTCTCCCTCTCTCGCTGGCCTCTCTCCCTCTCTCGCTGGCCTCTCTCCCTCTCTCGCTGGCCTCTCTCCCTCTCTCGCTGGCCTCTCTCCCTCTCTCGCTGGCCTCTCTCCCTCTCTCGCTGGCCTCTCTCCCTCTCTCGCTGGCCTCTCTCCCTCTCTCGCTGGCCTCTCTCCCTCTCTCGCTGGCCTCTCTCCCTCTCTGCTGGCCTCTCTCCCTCTCTCGCTGGCCTCTCTCCCTCTCTCGCTGGCCTCTCTCCCTCTCTCGCTGGCCTCTCTCCCTCTCTCGCTGGCCCTCTCTCCCTCTCTCGCTGGCCTCTCTCTCTCCTCTCTCTCGCTGGCCTCTCTCCCTCTCTCGCTGGCCTCTCTCCCTCTCTCGCTGGCCTCTCTCCCTCTCTCGCTGGCCTCTCTCCCTCTCTCGCTGGCCTCTCTCCCTCTCTCGCTGGCCTCTCTCCCTCTCTCGCTGGCCTCTCTCCCTCTCTCGCTGGCCTCTCTCCCTCTCTCGCTGGCCTCTCTCCCTCTCGCTGGCCTCTCTCCCTCTCTCGCTGGCCTCTCTCCCTCTCTCGCTGGCCTCTCTCCCTCTCTCGCTGGCCTCTCTCCCTCTCTCGCTGGCCTCTCTCCCTCTCTCGCTGGCCTCTCTCCCTCTCGCTGGCCTCTCTCCCTCTCGCTGGCCTCTCTCCCTCTCCTCTCCTGGCCTCTCTCCCTCTCGCTGGCCTCTCTCCCTCTCGCTGGCCTCTCTCTCGCTGGCCTCTCTCCCTCTCTCGCTGGCCTCTCTCCCTCTCTCGCTGGCCTCTCTCCCTCTCGTGCTCTCTCCTCGCTGGCCTCTCTCCTCTCTCCCTCTCTCCTCTCTCGCTGGCCTCTCTCCCTCTCTCGCTGGCCTCTCTCCCTCTCTCCGCTGGCCTCTCTCCCTCTCTCGCTGGCCTCTCTCCCTCTCTCGCTGGCCTCTCTCCCTCTCTCGCTGGCCTCTCTCCCTCTCTCGCTGGCCTCTCTCCCTCTCTCGCTGGCCTCTCTCCCTCTCTCGCTGGCCTCTCTCCCTCTCTCGCTGGCCTCTCTCCCTCTCTCGCTGGCCTCTCTCCCTCTCTCGCTGGCCTCTCTCCCTCTCTCGCTGGCCTCTCTCCCTCTCTCGCTGGCCTCTCTCCCTCTCTCGCTGGCCTCTCTCCCTCTCTCGCTGGCCTCTCTCCCTCTCTCGCTGGCCTCTCTCCTCTCCGCTGGCCTCTCTCCCTCTCTCGCTGGCCTCTCTCCCTCTCTCGCTGGCCTCTCTCCCTCTCTCTCGCTGGCCTCTCTCCCTCTCTCGCTGGCCTCTCTCCTCTCTCGCTGGCCTCTCTCCCTCTCTCGCTGGCCTCTCTCCCTCTCTCGCTGGCCTCTCTCCCTCTCTCGCTGGCCTCTCTCCCTCTCCCTCTCGCTGGCCTCTCTCCCTCTCTCGCTGGCCTCTCTCCCTCTCTCGCTGGCCTCTCTCCCTCTCTCGCTGGCCTCTCTCCCTCTCTCGCTGGCCTCTCTCCCTCTCTCGCTGGCCTCTCTCCCTCTCTCGCTGGCCTCTCTCCCTCTCTCGCTGGCCTCTCTCCCTCTCTCGCTGGCCTCTCTCCCTCTCTCGCTGGCCTCTCTCCCTCTCTCGCTGGCCTCTCCCTCTCTCTGGCCTCTCTCCCTCTCTCGCTGGCCTCTCTCCCTCTCGCTGGCCTCTCTCCCTCTCTTCGCTGGCCTCTCTCCCTCTCTCGCTGGCCTCTCTCCCTCTCTCTCGCTGGCCTCTCTCCCTCTCTCGCTGGCCTCTCTCCCTCTCTCGCTGGCCTCTCTCCCTCTCTCGCTGGCCTCTCTCCCTCTCTCGCTGGCCTCTCTCCCTCTCTCGCTGGCCTCTCTCCCTCTCTCACTGGTCTCTCTCCCTCTCGCTGGTCTCTCTCCCTCTCGCTGGTCTCTCCCTCTCTCGCTCTCTGGCCTCTCTCTCCTTACCCTCTCCTTACCCTCTGCAGACCCACACACACACTCTCCATGCAAACCTGTGGATATAGTCGTGTCCAGACATGAGGTTGCCCAGCTGGTCCGTGCCTCCCAGCTGGATCCTGCAGCCGTAGATCTGGTTCAGGTGATAGAAGTCGTGCGCCTGGAACACCTGGTACGTGAACTCAGTCAGACTCATCCCCTCCGCGCTCTTCATCCGAGACTGGACGCTGTGGCGGCTCAGCATGGTCCCCATCCGGAAGTGTCTCCCCACACGGGACAGGAAGCTCACCACGTCCCAGTCCTGGTACCACTTCAGGTTGTTCAGCACCGTCACCGTGCCCAGCTTCTTACCACAGCTGTGAAAATTCAGCTCGTAGTTGGTGAAGATCCGCTGGAGGCTTTCCCGTATGCTCCGGGTGTTCGCCTCCACGTCCTCCGGGGACAGGGGCTCTCTCTCCGCCGTCTTCCCGCTGGGGTCTCCGATGTGGGCCGTGGCTCCACCGAGGAGAGCCAGGACGTGGTGCCCGGCGTTGCGGAAGTGCAGTAGCCCCACCACGGCGAGCAGGTTCCCCACATGGAGGCTGTCAGCGGTGGGGTCGAAGCCGCAGTAGATAGTCTGGGGGGCGGACTCCAGGAGCTCCGGGAGGGCACCCTGGCCAGCTCGCTCCGGGAAACAGTCCTGTATGAGCCCGCGTTTGTTCAGCTGGTGTAGGAGTCCGCTGCGGGAGGAGGGGGAGCAGTGGAGCCGGGAGGAGAGAGGGGCGGACAGAGCCCAGCGGACCCGGGAGATGTGAGGTAGAGGTGGGCATGAGAAGCGGCAGGTCCGTGCTAAGGAGGCCGCCATCTTGGATTGTGTGTGGGAGGAGTCAACCACACGTGGAGAGGCAACAGCGCGCTCTAGTGGATGGATGCGGTTTTTGTTTTATAAGATTAAATCGTGTTTTTATTATCAATTTTTATAACATTTTTATTGTTAATTGTTTTTTATTGTCATTTATATTGTTTTTTACTTTGTACATAATGTTTTACAATTTTTTTATTTTTAAAACAAAGGCTGATCCACCATGTGCACTTGTATATTGTAAATAGTAACTGTAACTCTATTTTGAATGTAAATGTATTCTTTAGAAGTGTTTTTTATTCTTATTTTTATTATCTCTTTCTGACTGTTGCACTGAGCCAAAGCAATTTCCAAGTCTGTGACCTCCTGTTACTTACGTGGCAATAAAAATGATTCTGATTCTGATTCTAAACCTGTATATTTAAATGTGTGTATTGTATCTCTGTGCAGCACTTTTTTTTAAAAATGTGCTGTACAAATAACGTGGATTGGATTGGTTACAGAACAGTAGGAATGAGCACACAGTACAAGGTAAATGAACACAGCTAAATACCTCTATAGTAAACTCTCTACTAAATAAAATAACATAAAATAAAATCTCTAGCTTTAACATAAAAGGAAGTAGTCTATAATATAAAATAAGCAAGAATTAGGGCGTCAGAAGCTCAGTTGGTAGAGCACAGCCTTTAGGCCTGAAGGTCGTGGGTTCAATTCCCGCCTCAACTCCTTCTCCACCGATTCCCACTGATGTCTGCTTTTGTTGTGTCCTTGTGCAAGACATTTAACCCCACTTTGCCCAAAGCCCCCGCTGAAAGATCAAGGTGCTCACACTCAGAGAGCAGCCGTCCTCCTGTGGACTCACCACCTGCAGAGGGTCAGTGAGGGGCTGGTGCTCTGTGGGTGCAGCTCTGATTGCCACCCCCCTGACCCAGAAATGGATGAAGGGGAAGACAATGGATGGATGGATGGAAGCAAGAATTAAGCACAAAATCTCTAACTTTAGCATAATAAAGAATCAAGCATAAATCCTGTATATTCTAGTGCTGAAATACATAGTTGTATGTTTATGTTTACTGATAGGCCGAGTGCGGGTGGTCCAGGTGGTCCTCTCTCTACCTTTTGTGACCCAAAGATTTGACAGAACCCAAAAAGAAAATGCATGTGAAAAAGCCAGATCCCGTCATTCTTCTGAAGCTAAGGAGGGCAGGACCTGGTTAGTATTGTGTAGCCACCCAACAGCATTTTTTAACATTTATGGACATTGGTCTCTGCCCCTTATGGACCAATGGCTCTATGTGTTTTTTTTAGGGCTGTCCAAAATAGCGCGTTATTAACGCGTTAACGCAAATCAATATTAACGCCGTCATTTTTTTTATCGCGCGATTAAAAAAAAAAAAAAAATACTTTTTATTGCAGACAAACACATATACAGAAAAAAAATAGAAACAAAGAAAAGGACTAGTTCAGATACATTGTAGACAGAGATTACAAACAATATGTAGTTGGAGATACAGGGGGCCAAAGAAGAAACCCAGAAGGGCACATAGGAGGGGGGGGGGGGCATGAAGTGGGAGATGGGGGGAGGGGTTAATAAAAAAGGCAATACAAGCAAACAGTATACAGTCATAGATATACCGAAGGTAAACAGAGAAACAGCATAGAGTATTTACATGAACAAATTTACAAAATATTTACAGATTGTTTATCATCATCATAATGACACCATGATGTTTCTATACAGTCTATGGTCTATACCCACACATACACACACACACCCACACACACACATTGAAGGGGCTTTTTGTTACCAATTATTTATTTTGTCATCCATTTATTGATGATTTTGCATCAAATGTTAGTGTGTAATATAACACTACACCTTGTTTTCAATAAAAAAAAGCAATTGCACACAGCACGCAAATGTGTGACTAATTTGCGATTAATCGCGAGTTAACTATGAAATTCATGCGATTAATCGCGATTAAATATTTTAATCGTTGGACAGCACTAGTTTTTTTTAATCATTGCATTTCTTAAACGGTTTGGCAGTTTGGTTAAGTCCTCCGAGATAACCTCTGTTGTGATTTAGGGCTATAAAAGATTAGATTGAATTGAATGACTGTGATGGGAGACCTCTGGGACCACCAGGTGCCACAGTGAGGAGGCAGTAAAGTGCCAAGATACTTCAGCCTCATTGCTTAGAATGAGTTTTGTGTGAATGGGAGGTGGTGGTGGGAGGGGCCGATGACACTTGCCTCGCTTCTGTCTCTCTGTCCCAGGGCAGCTGTGGCTCGTTTATTACCACCATGTATAGAATGAATGAATAATGCAGTGAAGTGTCTTTGAGTAAGGCAAGTTTATTGTATAGCACAGTTCATACATGGTCCGGCACAGTTAGTCTAGGAACCAACTGGTCTCCACCTGCTGCACTGGTTCAAATATCACCAATAGTTTTGATTCAATTCAATTTGTTTTTTTTTTTATTGTAAGTAAGTAAGTAAGTAAGCTTTTATTTATATACCGCCTTTTCACTGCACATCGGAGTCTCAAAGCGGTTTACAATTGTTGGGTGGGGGTCGCCAGTACAGGAGGCACATGCCAGACCTATTGTACATATTTTTAGTGGTAGGGGAAACCGGAGCACCCGGAGGAAACCTACGCAGACACGGGGAGAACATGTCAACTCCACTCAAAAAGGCCCTGGGCCAACCGGTATTTGAACCCAGGACCTTCTTGCTGAGAGGCGAGAGTGCTATCCACTCAGCCACCGTGCCGCGTATTGCCCTTGTTATATCAAGTTTTATCTGTTTAAAAAATGTGAGAAAAAATTGGTCTGACCCTATTTCTGATAGCTATTCAATTTCTTGCTTTATTTATGGAGCTGTGTGGGAGGTCTTGGTTTTGGTGCGCTGCCTGTGACATCCAGTTGGGGGAGCCCTCGGGCAGTGAAGTTAGCCTGGGCCTACAACTTGTTTTGTTTTTTGGTGATTGATGGTGTTCTGGGGAAGTTTCTTGCGGATGTGAAGTTGAATGAACTTAACCACATGTTTGGTCATTAACACAGCTGCACGTCAATCAGAACGTGCAGGCTCCAAAAGTGACTATTGTGGTCACTTCAGCCCTCTTTTACAACAGCAGTCATCTCCCTCAACAACAGATCAGAGACTCAAACTGTTTGAACACAGAAAATGCAATCTATCCACAGTCTATAAATGTTAATAAATGGATCATCACTGTCATTAGACCCTCCTGCATCACTCTGATGCTGGGGATGTTTATAGTAGTAATTTTAACAAATGTTATGCCTTACTCTATTGTTACTTTTATGACTTGTTTTCACCGAGAGCCTTTTGTAACTTCCTGTTACTCACAATGTTAATCATTAGATTTCTGATTCTGGAGCCTCAACCTGGATACCACACAACCTTTGTGTTGCATCATCCTCGTTGTACAGCCTGACTCCTGGATCTGCAGCTTGTCCGTCTGTGGGACCAGATCCCCCTCTCATCACGAGCCTCCTCGAGGTTTCCCACTGGGTTTTTGAGTTGTTCAGGTTAAAAACAGTTCTGTTCAGCTGTGCATACAACTGAGGTATTTTATATTTTTATCTTTCTTTTTAATGTACTGTGATTATTTATGATTTGAATGCTTGTTTTGTTCAGCACTTTGAGTTGCCTTGTTTATGAATTGTGCTATACAAATAAACTTGCCTTGCCTTCTTTGTCGATGCAGGAGGGTCTAAGGCCAGAGATGATCCGGGACATTTACACACAGTGGTCCTCCCTCTCCCTATGGACCAATGTCTATGTATATGTCATTATCACTGTGTTCGACCCGTTTGATTCTCTAATCTGCTGATGGCGAATCAACAACTCTTTAAAGTCCTCCGAGACGACTGCTGTTGTGATTTTAGCCTAAACACAAATACAGTGCATATAAAGTGCATTCGACACATTTTTTTCGACGGCACAACACACATCATGGTTTTTAAAAATAGTTTATTTTGAAATCCATAATTTGAGAATCATTTTAAAATGCCTAGATTTACATTCATCACACATTTACAGTATTGTTATCGAGTCACAACATGGACAGCACATACAACTCCATTCAAAACAACACAAATCTAACACTTCCTATGACTGCTGCTCGGGAAAGAACAAAAACGTCAGTGATTCTGTGTCAGTACTGCATCTTTAAAACTCTGTGTAATGTAAGGCCGAGCAGGAAATACATCATTAACAGGCAAAACAACCAGAGAAAAGGACTCCAGCACTTTTCTACGTCCTGAGCTAGTTTATTAGAGTCGGAGGAGGTTTCCCTGATACACCTTAGACAATCCCTTATCGATCCAACACAAAGTAGACGGTCCTATGGAGGGCTGGAGCGCCCCCTGGTGTCCTATACAGACCATAACGATTGGCCTAATCTGTCACTTTGTTGTAATGTTGTTCCATAAAAAAAATAAAAATATCGGTATAGTGTCTTATCAAGTTTTCCACCAATCTCCAATGATGTGTTTTCTGGCAGGGCACAAGCTAAGGCACGGTTATGTTATGTGGCTTTGGGTAAAAACGCAAAAAGTCCTTGTTTGAATTGAAATAGACAAAAAAAAATGGCGAAAAAATTGCGTGGACGAGGGATGCACCGATCCAGCTTATACTTGGCTGCGATATTTGCTGATTTCGTTCCGCTTAAATCTCAGCAAACTTATTACAAATCGATCGAACTGCGTTTTAAAACAATAGCTTTTGATTCTGGAGAAACTAAAAAACTACAGTCGGAGTCAAAGTTACATTAAATTAGCTTTAAAGTGTTTTTCCACTTGTCCTTAGGCAAAACTTAGCGAAACTTAGCACTGGGTTAGAACCAGGCTTTCGTGTATGAAGTTTGCATGTTCTCCCCGTGTCTGCATAAGGTTTCTCCTGGGGCTCCGGTTTCCTCTACCACTAAAACCATATACAATACGGTTAAATCCTCCAGCAAAGGTCCTATAGAAATGGGTGGGTCAAATGCTGAGGACATATGAGGGCAATAAAATATAGCTTAAAAAAAAATATGGAGAGACATTGTTCAAGCTAGCATGAGATAGCCCCGCCCCCACAGGCTCCTGATTGGACGCAATTTATTCCAATCCCATAGGTCCAACTATTCTCCTCCAGCCAATCTTACTGGTGGTGGTTATTCCAAAGGGAGGGGCTGTTTTAAATATTTGTATCATGAAAAATACTCAATACTGTCCAAAGGTTTGAGAATGAGAGACATTTTTTAACCGGACTGGTCCAGGGGCCGACAACAACCCGGATAAAAACTAAATGAAGGTAAAATATTTGGGCTGTTCTGGGTTTTTAAAATAGAGCATTAAACATTTACATTTTGATTCACATTTGCTACATAGTAACTTTTAACCAGTTTACTATGTACTCCCGTTCACCCGTACTACATTAATGCCATATATATACACACAAGTGAGAAAATCAAAAACAAAGTAAGATATTCCACGATTGGATTCAAAAGTCTGGGGTTTCCAGCATCGTGGAACTGTATTGGCGGAGCTGAAGTTGGCTGGATGACAATGTGAACTTGTGTTTGTGATTTAAATGGTTTACTAACTGAATTTTTTTGCTCCGATGCCCGTGTAGCATCATCGATATCGGGGCACGTCCAAACTCCGGCCCGCGGGTCAAATGCGGCCGCAAACTATAAATTAGTTTGCGGCCGCATTTGACCCGCGGGCCGGAGTTTGGACGTGCCCCGATATCGATGATGCTACACGGGCATCGGAGCAAAAAAATTCAGTTCTAAATTCATATCTTCTTTTTAACCTGGAGGGATTAGAGCGAGAGAGAGAGAGACCAGAAAGAGAGAGGCCAGAGAGAGAGACCAGAGGGAGACCAGAAAGAGAGAGGGACCAGAGAGAGAGAACAGAGAGAGGGACCAGAGAGAGACCAGAAAGAGAGAGGCCAGAGAGAGAGACCAGAGGGAGACCAGAAAGAGAGAGGGACCAGAGAGAGAGACCAGAGAGAGGGACCAGAGAGAGAGACCAGAGAGAGGGACCAGAGAGAGACCAGAAAGAGAGAGAGACCAGAGGGAGACCAGAAAGAGAGAGGGACCAGAGAGAGAGACCAGAGGGAGACCAGAAAGAGAGAGGGACCAGAGAGAGACCAGAAAGAGAGAGAGACCAGAGAGAGAGACCAGAGAGAGAGACCAGAGGGAGAGGGACCAGAGAGAGAGCAGAGAGAGAGACTAGAGAGAGACCAGAGAGAGAGACCATAGAAAGCGACTAGAGAGAGCGACCAGATAGACCAGAGAAAAAGGTCAGAGGGAGAAAGAAACCAGAGAGAGGGAGAAAGAGAGAGAGAGACTAGAGAGACCCCAGAGAGAGAGACCAGAGAGAGAGACCAGAGGGAGACCATATAGACCAGAGAGAGAGACCAAAGGGAGACCATAGAGAGAAACCAGTGTGAGAGACCAGAGAGAGAAGAGAGACATGGTTCACATTTCTCCCGTTGCGTCACTCTGTGGTTTGTAAAGTCAGATATAGAGAAACTGCTCACTGAGGCCTACAGCCTGTGAGACTTCAGGCTGCAGTACCGCGGGTGGCCTCTAGTGTATGTGGAGACAGCTTTAAGCAGCAATACCCTCTTCAGGCCAAAAACATCAACGATTAATCTCAGTAAAAAACAAGCTTAATACATCAAAATCAACAATTACTGAGATATGGCCTGAACGATAACGACGCCAGTATCGTATCGGTGCATCCCCAGCTCTAAAGAGGCAGTTTAACGGTTAATCTGTAATCTATGCACGTCCACGGATGGTTACGACAATAGCAGCGGCGTGAGTAAGAATAAGCGGGGGTACAAAAAGGGTGTGTACTGCAGAAACACCAGTCTATTGCTTAATACTGCGAGACGACGAAACAGGCAAGTGACAAAAGGCGTCGTTCCATAGACTGCAAACACCTGAGAGCGAGAGGCCGAGGGGTCAGTGCAGGTCTGAGGGTCCAACACCAGGACTCCCACAGCAGTCCATTCGACGGCTTTTAGTTTGGTGTAGTTACTCAGTGTTTTTACATCTGTACGGTCTTCAGAACTCTGTCTTTTTCTGTATCTGTCCATAGTTTTCTGTAATTCATCATGATGTTTATTATTTTACCAGAATACACAGTCCTTCATACTTGCTTGTTATTATGGCAAAAGGTAGAGATTTTAAAATACAAATGTTGTAGATTTTGGTCGCTTGGTAACCGATATTCTATGGCAGATAAAACACCTTTTCTCCAAGGGACTGGCTCGGGACTGGCTCGGGACTGGCTCGGGACTGGCTCTGGACTGGCTCGGGACTGGCTCGGGACTGGCTCGGGACTGGCTCGGGACTGGCTCGGGACTGGCTCGGGACTGGCTCGGGACTGGCTCGGGACTGGCTCGGGACTGGCTCTGGACTGGCTCTGGACTGGCTCGGGACTGGCTCGGGACTGGCTCGGGACTGGCTCGGGACTGGCTCGGGACTGGCCCTGCACTAGTTCTGGTTCTGGACTAGTTTTGGACTAGTTTTGGACTGGCCCTGGTCTGGTTCTGGACTTGTTGAGTCGAGCAATCTTGGTTTTCCACTAGTTACCATAGCAACACACTGTTTACTGCAGAAAGTTAGCATTTGTATTAGCATTAGCTTTTTGACAAACTGTTTTTTGCTGTATTTCACATTAGATTCACTAGTTTTAGCACTTCTTAAAAGCGAGTAAAGGTGAAATCCTTACAAATCACTTATGTTTAATAAAACTGGCGTAAAACTAACTTTTTTGGGGGATTTTTTCCGAATCCCATTGATTTAGAAGCAGTTGAAATGGCGGCACAGGGAGTCTGGGAGTCCTGGTGTTAAGCCAAGACATAATAGAAAAGTATAGTTAGCTTGATAAATGATAAACAACGTGGAATGTCCCCTCTGGGATTCAGATATATGGATCTTCCCCTTCCCACTATATTTACACAGCGTTTACACTACTTTACAATAGTGCCACTTCAAACAAACATTGATCAGACTTAGTCATATATACTATAGTATAAAAATATGATCAGGTCAATTCTGACATAATTATCTGGCAAGAAAGATTCTGCAGAATACATGTACATATAAAAAACGTGTTGAGCAATAATATTATTACAACCTGGATTGTTATTAGTATCTCCTAAAGGCAGCAGCGATAAAACGGGTTAAGTCCATTGGTTCCAGAACGGCAACAAATTAGAGATAAAGAGATAAATAGTGTGGAAATTAATATTATGTCGTCAGATGCAACAGGAAACTGAAACCCATGAATAAAAGAGACTGATTAGCCCCGTTTCCACCGGCCCGACTTGGCCCTACTCGGCTCGACTCTACCTGGTTGCGTTTCCATCATGCTTTAGCATCTGGTACCGTATCCATGCAGCCCACTGAAAAAAACAGTTTATGTGGAGATTCCTGGGTAACCATGGCTTCCAGCAGCACTCAGCTAAAACACTTCACTACCAGCTCGGCCTGGACAGAACCAGAACCAAGAGGGACTAAAGAAAGACAACATGGCTAGTGGAAACGCTCTCAATCGAGGTAGAATAGTACCGAGTAGAGTAGGGCAAAGTAGGGCTGGTGGAAACGGGGCTTAAGCGACTGTACGTAAATGTAACGTACAGAAAGTAAACATGTCAACGTTTTTCATACACTGTTAAATCATGATCAGAACTATTTAACTGATTTGTTTTTGATCAAAAACCAGGTTTTTCAAATGCATTCTTTGAGCTGGGACAAACAGGGCTGCACGATTTGTCAACATTTTTGTGGACCGCAATTACTAAAGTTATTTGCTAATGAAAAAGGGACTAATAATAGACAAACAGGACTTGAATTTCTTGATGTTTGATTATTTTCAGTCAATGACCACAGACTGTACATTAGGAGTGGACTGGCCGAGAGCCCCGTCACCGTAGCGTTAGCCTTGACGCGGAGGAAGCCGATTTGAACATAGGCTAGCTGGAGACAATTTGGGCATTTGTTCCGATGACGTTAGCTTAACTTTGAGCCGTATCAGAGTAACTGAGACGGTTGCTATGGCAAGCTGGTGTTTCTTTTATATTCAAATGTGCCTTATATATGTACAATAATTAGCTTCTTTTCCAATCTAGCTGATGCGGTAAATTGCATAGTCCAAGAATTGCGGTCGATAAAAATGATATCATACTTAAGCACAATATTTTAGATTTTGTTGTACACATATTTCCTGAACTCTGTGTCAGTTGTGTAAAAGGTCATTCTTAATATCAGATATATAGATGTTAATTTAATTTGACGGCTTTTTAAACATACAGGAAATCAGATATTTTGCTAAAATAAAATGGGCGGCACGGTGGCTGAGTGGATAGCACTCTCGCCTCTCAGCAAGAAGGTCCTGGGTTCGAATCCCGGCCGGACCAGGGCCTTTCTGAGTGGAGTTGAAAGGCGGTATATAAATAAAGCTTACTTACTTACTACTTACTAAAATCGTGCAGCCATACTCACCAGAAACGGTAGAATAATACAGATTTGGGATTTCTTGTCGATAGTAGTGCACGTACAGACAATACTGCACTTAAAACAAACCAATCTGGCTAGAATACAAAAAGAGAGGAGAAAGAACAGGCGATTCACGGGCTGTCCGCAGCTTGCACTTCTCTGCCGTAGACCCCTGGAGCGGCCGCAGTGGCAGGATCCGTGCAGTAGTTTGGTAAAAAGGCCTCCGTCAGTCCTTCAGGCCACAGACTGACCGTGTTTCAAGTTTTGCATTGAGCTGCTTTGTGCGGAGCCACGCAATCCAGTCACGGTTCCAAGCCCCCGCAAAGAACATCTTCACCACGGGAAATTTTGATTTAAATACACGTTATGGTTAGCTACAATCACGGTCTCGAAAAGTATCCCATTGGCGCAGGGTCCTTCCTCACGCTGTGTTTATGCTGGGTGGTCATTTAGAGCCGATGTGGAAAGAGCTGCCTCGTTGTTGCCGTCGTAACTAAAAGTCACTTGGGTGTTCTGTAAATGTATTGTATTCCGCTACAGCAGGGGTCTCCAACCTTTAGCTCCCAGTAGCTCGCCACAGCCCTTCCGAGAAGCTCCCCAAAAGGATTTAGGGCATTTTAAACAACATGCTAGATACTTCCAATGCCTTTAACATTTGTACATATTTAACTTTGAGCGCTAATAAAAGCCTAAAAGACTGACCGAGTGTGACATCACCATAGTGTTAGCCTTAATGCGGAAGAAGCTGATTTGAACATAAGCTAGCTGGAGCCAATTTCCTTATATGGGCAATTGTTCGGACGGCGTTAGCTGCGCACCGTAACAGGGGCAGACGTGTTGCTAAAAAAGGTTGCTAAGGCAAGATAGTGTTTCCCCCGGAAATGAAGGCATCTGATTGGTCAAATTTTTTCATGGCCCATATCTGGATTTGTCTGGATTTGGATCTGAATGTCACAATATGAACACCTGGATCACAGAGAGTGTATAATCGCCGATGTTTTTTAATCCCAAAATGGTGAGTGTGACATAAACGGTTACTGAGCAAGAGGAGTTTTCAACACTTCCCTATTGAGCTAGCGGGTTAGCATTGCCCATCCATATACAGTGAATGTTAGATACCCATAAAGCAATCGAAGGCATGTCACCGTTATAAAATATTGCCTCAATTTCTGCCAATTTTTGCCCTGAAAAAGTAGCTTTCGGTTGGAGACCCCTGCGCTACAGCCCGGCTCTTATCGTCAACTTCCCGCAGAAATGGCTGGATTGTTGTCGCAGTATCAGAAATCGCCTTGATCACTTTGCACACACCGGAGATGCTGGTGCTCATTCTGCTTGCATGTCATATTTGCATGTTTGTGTTAAAGCCGAGGTATTCAGTTCAACTCTGTCCACAAAAGGGCTGGTGGTGGCTGCAGGTTATCATTCCAACCGAGACCACACACCAGACTCCTCCAATTTCTCCTACGGGGGATCAAAAAAGTATCTATCTATTCATATATTTCCTCAAAAGTCTTCAGGTTGAGACTGGACTCACTTGAGGAAATGTGAGTCCAGTCACTCACATTTTTGGTGTTGCTCCTGCTCGGTTGGAATGAATACCTGGAGCGAAAACCGGCCCTTTAAAGGCCGAGTTAAATACCCCAGTGTTAAAGTGTCATCTGGAGTGAACATGGAGCAGGTCGGATCCCAGCTCTTGTTGCTTTTGGGTCCCAGTGGTTCGGCCCAGGCTTATGGAGGACTTCTAGTTAATGTCTCTGTATAGCCTCGTTTCCACCGGCCCTGCTCTACTTGGCTCTTCTTTCTTTTTAAATAATCATTGTATTTGCTGTGTTTGAACGGTTTGATTCTCTGATCGGTGTTGGCGAATCGACAGCTTTGTAAAGTCCTCGGACATAACTACTGTTGTGATTTTGGGCAATACAGAAGCACGTTGAATTTAAATGGATTTAAACTTGGCTTGACTTGGCTCGGCTTGACCTGGTTGTGTTTCCATTACACTTTAGTATCTGGAACCAGTATCTGTAGAAAGTCCTTGCCAACCATAGCTTCCAGCAGCACTCTAGTACTACCTATGCCTTTTCAGTACCTGCTTGGCCAATCAGAGAAGAGTAGTGCCAAGTAGACTAGAGTAGGGTCACAAGTAGGGCCGGTGGAAACAGGGCTCATTTCTCCGGTAGAAGAAAGAAGTAGGATTCCAGAACTGCGGTCAGTACATGTCCCTGTATATCTCCTGTAGAAGCGGGTGCAAAGATGTGTCCTCAGTCTTTTTGATCTCCTGCACCAGGCGAGCGTGCTCCGTCACCAGCTGCCTGAGGTCGGCCAGCTTCTGCAGCAGTTTGGGGAAGAGGAAGGTGTGGTCCGGATGGTTGGCCAGTAGGTGGAGCTGCAGGACCCTCACGATCCGCTCCTGCATACGTTCAATGAGGGCCACGTTGACCAGGCCGGGGCGGTCTAACGGTGAAAACACACACATGCTTAGTTAGTGTAACATTGGGATGATAAATCAGGACATTTTAAACTAAACAAACTCTTAATTTATAAAGCTGGTATAAACAACTAATTTTGCACCAATAAAGTATATCCATCCATCCATCCATTTTCTACCCTTTAATCCATTTCTGGGTCAGGGGGGTGGCAGTCACAGATGCCACCCAAGTCTCATAGCACCAGCCCCTCACTGACCCTCTGCAGGTGGTGAGTCCACAGGAGGACGGCTGCTCTCAGAGTGTGAGCATAGCCTTGATCTTTCAGTGGGGGCTTTGGGCAAAGTGGGGTTAAGTGTCTTGCCCAAGGACACAACGACAGCAGTCATCAGTGGGAGTCGGTGGAGAAGGTGCAGAGGTGGGAATTGAACCCACGACCTTCTGGGCTTAAGGCCAATGCTCTACCAACTGAGCTACTGTCGCCCAATAAAGTATAATGTATTCTTATTATGTTATTACAGCAAACACAACAAATGTGGTAATCCTGGATCTCAGCCCTGGTTCTACTACAGCCTTGGTCCTGGATCTACAGCCTCAGTCCAGGATCTACAGCCTCAGTCCAGGATCTACAGCCTCAGTCCTGGATCTACAGCCTCAGTCCTGAATCTACAGCTTCAGTCCTGAATCTACAGCTTCAGTCCTGAATCTACAGCTTCAGTCCTGAATCTACAGCCTCAGTCCTGGGTCTACAGCCTCAGTCCTGGGTCTACAGCCTCAGTCCTGGATCTACAGCCTCAGTCCAGGATCTACAGCCTCAGTCCTGGATCTACAGTCTCAGTCCAGGATCTACAGCCTCAGTCCAGGATCTACAGCCTCAGTCCTGGATCTACAGTCTCAGTCCAAGATCTACAGTCTCAGTCCTGGATCTACAGCCTCAGTCCTGGATCTACAGTCTCAGTCCTGGATCTACAGCCTCAGTCCTGGATCTACAGCCTCAGTCCTGGATCTACAGCCTCAGTCCTGGATCTACAGTCTAAGTCCAGGATCTACAGCCTCAGTCCCACCTCCACAGCAGATGACCGCAGCCACAAACAGAGCGATGTCGCTGTCGTCCAGCTCCAGCGAGTTAAACTTCATGGCGAACTGGAACTTGGGCTCCATCATCTCGCTGAAGGGTCTGCGGAGGCTCTTGAGGAACTCGCGGGTGATGAAGCCCGAGCCGTAGGCCACCAGCAGCCCGTCCTTGTTCATCGAGGAGGCCAGCATGGCGAACATGGCCTCATACACGCCGTACTTCAGCAGAGTCACCTGGTCGTTCAGGTCCAGGCTGGAGAAACCCGGAACCGATTTAGCAAATTCCGTGAGCTCCGTAACGGTTTCCACGGACGTGCATTGGCAGCAGTGGAATATCCGCACCTCGGCCTCTCGGTTCTTCAGCATCTCGGCAGAACCCAGCATCTTAGCCACAAACGTCTGCTCGGCCAGCTGCAGCGTCTCCATGTCGTGGATGACAAAGGGCTGGAAAGACAAGGAGAATTTTACATACTACTACAGAGGGCCCTGGTTTATCGCAGGGGTGATGTGTTCTAAAAATAACCCACAGCCAGTTAAATTGCAGCTGTATGTTTTAAGGCTGTAAACCGATCACACTTTATATACTTTTCTAACCACCTGAACTCAAGACTGCTGAAGAGAGAGAGACCAGAAATATCAAACCTGTTGGTTGTAGGTCTGAGCGCTGCTGCAGCTGTAAGAAGCCGTGCATACACTGTAAAATACAGCTGCAGAGGAGACTGAGGGACAGATACAGGACTGAGGGCTATAGAAGAGACCAGAGAGAGACCAGGGAGAGACCAGAGAGAGACCAGAGAGACACCAGAGAGAGAGAGAAAGTCTTCTGAACCTGGGCCTTAGTTTGGACATGCCTGTTGTAGTCTAATTTCTATGTGTTCACGGAGGTGCACCATACTTTATTTTATTATTAAACGGTACTTCCGCATCGGCGATCATGCTAGCTGCACTAGTTTACAGTCACAGGAGAATGAGGAGAATGCTGGAGGCATATGTTCACAAGCTACAGCCTCAGTAATCCCCCATTGTCAATCCTGGTTTAGTCCTGGTTTAGACATGGTTTATTCCTGCTTTATGAATCTGCGTGCGTCCAAAGACACACATGCAGTCCCACGCTCAAACGAACGTCACCACTGACCTTCCATTGAAAGTCGCTGCAACGCATGATCCGGTCTGAACGCCGCATAAGATATCCAGAGACAGTAAAAGTATATGTTTCTGCTTGGGGAAAATGTATGGCACTTCTGTTGGATCAAAAACAGCCCTTGAGGTTTAGGTTGATTTCAAAGCAGCTTTAGAATTGCCCCTGGTGGGATAAATAAAGTAGTCTGAATGTCCATCGTCGTCATAGCAGCCACAGTTCTCTACATACTGCTTTTCTACCACACGATAAAAACCTATTGAGGTGATTTATTATTATTTTTATTACTAATTATAATGAGACAATTTTCTTTGTCAGTCCATGTTTCAGAACGTGAAGTAATATCTTCAGTAGAAAATATTTGATGAAACAAGTATGAATAATAAAGCTTGCTGTAACCCTCTGCCACCACTAGAGGGAGACGCAGAATTTGAAATGACAAATAACTCATTTAGAGGCAATATTTTTGTTTGGTCTGAGTGTGATGTCATAGTGGTACAATGACAACCTACTGTTACAGGACTGAGAAAGGAGATTAAACACACACACACACACAGCCACACACACAAATACACAACTACTGTATCTGTGGGAATCAAAGAAACAGAGCAAACTAAAGTTTAAAAGAGGGCGATGTGACGATTGAGAGACAGAGCTACTATTTGATGCAGATGAAAGCTTAGCCATATCAACCCATGTCTTTAAGGGGCTCACGGCGGGTACACACTGTTACACACTGCTACACACTGCTTCTTTACGCTGTTCCGGGTCAGACAGGCCTTCCCTTGTTCGCTCTGTGTGCTAACTTCTGATTGAGCAAGTTATTTCTGTCGCTCCGGAGCTAAACTTAACCACAAGAGCGAGGCCTGTCTTGTGTTGCATGTTGTAAGGGATATTTGTAGATGTAATCAGTGTGTGTGTGTGCATGTACTGTCTGTTAGTATGTGTGTGTGTACATGTAGTGTGTGTGTGTGTATGTGTTCGAATGTGTACGTGTGTGTACAGTGCCTTGCGAAAGTATTCGGCTCCTTTGAACCTTTCAACATTTTGCCACATTTCAGTCTTCAAACATAAAGATATAAAATTAAATTTTTTTGTCATGAATCAACAACAAGTGGGACAAAATCGTGAAGTGGAACAAAATTTATTGGATAATTTAAACTTTTTTAACAAATAAAAAACTGAAAAGTGGGGCGTGCAATATTATTCGGCCCCTTTACTTTCAGTGCATTCTATTTATCATCATCAGTCATTTAGGACAACATTGGATCATTCAAAGATCCTCACTGAACTTCTGGAGTGAGTTTGCTGCACTGAAAGTAAAGGGGCCGAATAATATTGCACGCCCCACTTTTCAGTTTTTTATTTGTTAAAAAAGTTTAAATTATCCAATGAATTTCATTCCACTTCACGATTGTGTCCCACTTGTTGTTGATTCATGACAAAAAATTAAAATGTTATAGCTTTATGTTTGAAGCCTGAAATGTGGCGAAATGTTGAAAGGTTCAAGGGGGCCGAATACTTTCGCAAGGCACTGTATGTGTGCGTATGTGTATGTGTGTGTGTTCATGTATGTGTAAGTGTGTGTACGTGCGCTTGTGTATGTTGGAGTGCGAGTGTGTGTGTCTATTAATTCATGTTTTATAAGGAGAAACAAATTGTAGGAAAATTGCGACATTTCTATGTGTACTAAGAGTGTGTGTGTGCTATTGTGTGTGTGTGTGTGAGAGAGTTGCGTGTGCGTGTGTGCCCATGTGTGTGTGTGTGTGCGACAGAGAAAGTGATTCAGGATATTGTTCAAAGGGTTTTGGTGTTTCATATATATATATATACAGTATATATAAGTATTTTTATATTGAGTGTCAATATAAAAGTGAAAAAGTAGTACTGGAGAGCTGGTTTTCCCGGTGAGGATGGTCCGGGCTTTGGCCTTGTTCATGTTGAAGTTCCTCACGTAGGCCTCGTAGATCTGTCGAGCCAGGCTTTTCTGATCCGCCAGCTGAGGGTCCTCCACCTCGCGGTCCATGGTCCCCATCTCCGCTTTCAGCTTCAGCTTCTCCGACTGTGGCATGCGACCGAAACGAATTGCTGAGGACGAATAAAGAAATTAAATTTAGACTTAATCAAGGAGTTTTTAGAACACAAATTAGTCTCAGTTTTCCCCCAGTGGTAAAAACGCCCCTGGTTCTTAACTGACATTGATTGGCCAGAGTGCTGCTGGGAGTAGAGTAGAGTAGAGTAGAGCGAAGTAGAGTAGAGTAGAGCAAAGTAGAGTCGAGCAGAGCCGAGTAGAGCCGAGCAGAGCCGAGTACAGTAGAGAATAGAGTAGAGTAGAGTAGAATAGAGCCAAGTAGAGTAGAATAGAATAGAGCAAGTAGAGTAGAGTAGAGTAGAGTAGGGTAGAGTAGAGTAGAGTAGAGTAGGGTAGGGTAGGTAGAGTAGAGTAGAGTAGGTAGAGTAGAGCCAAGTAAGAGTAGAATAGAATATTCCAAGTAGAGTAGAGTAGAGTAGAATAGAGCCAAGTAGAGTAGAGTAGAGTAGAGCAGGGTAGAGTAGAGTAGAGTAGAGTAGAGTAGAGCCAAGTAGAGTAGAATAGAATATATCCAAGTAGAGTAGAGTAGAGTAGAGTAGAGTCAAGTAGAGTAGAGTAGAGTAGAGTAGAGTAGAGTAGAATAGAATTAGAATATATCCAAGAGAAGTAGAGTAGAATAGAGCCAAGTAGAGTAGATAGAATAGAGCCAAGTAGAGTAGAGTAGAGTAGAGTAGAGTATAGTAGAGTAGAGTCAGAGTAGAGTAGAGTATGAGTAGAGTAGAGTAGAGTAGAGTAGAGTAGAGTAGAGTAGGTAGTAGAGTAGAGTAGAGTAGAGTAGAGTAGAGTAGAGTAGGGTAGGGTAGGGTAGGGTAGGGTAGGGTAGGGTAGGGTAGGGTAGAGTAGAGTAGAGTAGAGTAGAGTAGAGTAGAGTAGAGTAGAGTAGGGTAGGGTAGGGTAGGGTAGAGTAGAGTAGAGTAGAGTAGAGTAGAGTAGAGTAGGGTAGAGTATAGTAGAGTAGAGTAGAGTAGAGTAGAGTAGGGTAGGGTAGGGTAGGGTAGGGTAGAGTAGAGTAGAGTAGAGTAGAGTAGAGTAGAGTTACGGTAACAAAGCAGTAACGTTAATGAGAACAAAACAACACTTGCTTTAACCTTGATCTCATAAAGAGATTAGATCTGAACCCTCTCTGACCCTGCCAACGTAAACACCACGCTACTACGCTAACGTGTGTGTGTCTGTGTGCCTCTCTCTGTGTGTGTGTGTGTCTGTGTGCCTCTCTCCAAGTGTGTGTGTCTGTGCGTGCGTGTGTGTGTGCGTGCATGTGCGTGTGTGTGTGTGTCTGCATGGGTGTGTGTGTGTGTCTGCGTGTCTGTGCGTGCATGTGTGTGTGTTTGTCTGCATGTGTGTGTGTGTGTGTGTTTGCATGTGTGTGTGGGTCCTGCCGGGGTCACAGGTCGTCTTCAGACCATTCAGAGGACTGGGGAGTGGAAGGTGCTTGTCCAAAGCGCTAAGACCCTGCAGCAGGAGCCAGGTCTCATTAAGGAGCGTGGAGTGAGTGGCTCTAAGCTGCACATAAGTCCATTTGGTAAAGCAGCAGAGAAGATGAGTCTAGACACAAGCCCAGCTCAGTTTGAGGAAGGAGTGTAAACAACCAGGTTCTTCGGTCTGTTGTTCATTCATTCTTTCTTTCATTTTCAACCCCTTTTCTTTGGTTTGTTGTTGTTTTGTTTTGTTTTTTCCGTTCTCATATTCAACAACAACAAAAATCGGATAGAAATTCTCTCTATTAGATCATTCAAATCAGCAGCAAAATCATGGGACGGCAGCTAAACTCACTCACATCGACAATAAGTGTGTTTCAAGGATTCAAGCCCCACGTCTCCAAAATGTCTGCCCCATGGATCTATAACAGTGGGGGAGGGTCCCAGCTCAAAAGTGGCCAAAATGACGTGCGCTGACATGCTGCAATACCACCCCGGGTCGTTGGGGGTGGACCCAGAAGAAGAATTAGCCAATGCTAACATATAGCATTGGCAGACCTCTCAAAAACGTCTTTACAGGATCGACCAAAAGTTGGCTCTTGGCCCAAAGCTCCGTTCCACATGTGTGTCAATGCTGAGGGGGGTGAATTTTTTTGGTCCACTCTAGTTTACTCGCTGTGAATTTTTGAAGTCTCTCGTTCAAATGAATGGAGCTGCTCCGGCTGACGCATGCGCAGATGCGTTTTTTCACAATTTTCTTGTGGGCGGGACCACTCGCGGCCATCTTGGATTGCTCCATGAAAGCACTTTTCATGGCCAACTCCTATGAACAGCGGAGATAGGCGTGACTCTGTCCATTAATATTTACAGTCTATGATCTATAATAAGAACTGGACAGAGTATTACTAGCTTACAGCTACCCCACCCATGGACACACGGGTACTGCAGACTAAATTCACCCGGGTTATGCAGAAAAAAGTCCCATAGAACTCAATGTAAACTAAAACAGCTCAACCTCAGCTGACAGAGAACCTGACAGAGAACCTACAGCTTTCATAAAGATCAGATTTTGTGGGGATTTTAGTGTCTCCTGTCGCCTTTTTTTCTTGTTAAATCCTTACATTTTCTATGAATCTACACTTTAGTGCCACAAACTCTGAAACTAAAGAGTCTCTGATTGGTCTGAAAGCTGCCGTATTCCTCTGTGCTTGGAGTGCTTGGCGCAAAGCATCATGGGAGCTCGTCCACTGCGCAGAACCGGGACGACCAGGGAAATGACCTAATATTGACGAGTTCTGCTAATCTCTCGGTGCCCATGGTCTCTTCATGCGCCACTGAGCCCAAGCCGCCATCTTGGATCACCGGGGCTTGGTCTACCCCTGGTCTCCAAGATCTCTGATCATTCAGACCAATGTCGCACTTTATTACTATTGTTGGAAACTTTTTATAATTATGTATTTATGCGTTAGTGTGGATGGATATGTTCTTGCTGCTGGACACCTGGATTTCTCCTACAGGGATCAATAAAGTATCTATCAATCAATCAATGTATAAATCTATCCATCTACCTAGTTCCAATAACTCTGGGGTGCACACTGGGGTATTCGTGCACCGTTTTTCCAATGTGGTTTTACTGCAAATGGCAAATAGATTCTTGAATCTATTGGCTGGGTGTGTGGACCATTCGGGACACGGTCCACACACTCGCACACAGCTCTAGTATCATATGAAGCAAGATTATGACAGTTCTGGTTGATGGCCCTGTAAAAACCGCTCTGTTATTGATTCACTCGTCCTTACGACTGGACACGCCAGAGTGATGCATGTTTTTATGGCTGTGTCCTGGAGCTGGATGTAGTTTTCTCTGGACTCCACTTCCTCTTATCGTAGACGAGTATCGGCTGTCATTGGTGTAAAGTGTAAACAAAGCCGCGGAGGAAAGAAACGGGAGAAGTCCGTGCAACTGGATCCTTTTAAGTCGGTGAATTTACCGACTGCTCGACCACGGCGTCTCCTCTCCGCGCAGACATCCAGGCTACATCCACTCAAAGTCAAAATACTTGTAGTTTCTGTGAAGCCGGAGTCGGTTCAGTAAATGCTGGCGTCCACATGAAGGTCTGAAAACGCTGTGGAACTGCACCAGGCCTGTAGGTGGCGCTGTGACGCACTGGGGTCGAGGCCAGACTTCTGTGAAGGGATTTAAAGGGCTCAGTTTGTAAACAGACAGAAGGAGATGATGCTGTAATAGTGCCACTTCTCTCTCTTCTCTCCTGTTTTCTCTCAAGTCTCTCTCCTCTCTTTCTCTCCAGCTCCTCTTTCCACTCCTCCCTCCTCTTCTCTCCCTCTCTGGTCACTCTCATCTCCTCTTCTCTCTCTCCTCTCTCTCCTCTTCTCTTCTGTTCTCTCCTCCTTCTCTCCTCCCCTACCGTTCCCATCCCTCCTCTCCTTCCTCCTCTCCTCTCCTCTTCCCCCTCCTCTCCTCTTCTCTCTCTCTTTCCTCTTCTCTTTCCCCTCCACTCCTCTCCTCTCTCTCTTTCCTCTTCTCTTCTCTTCCTCTTCTCCTCTCTCTCTTTCCTCTTCTCGCCTCTTCCCCCTCCACTCCTCTCCTCTCTCTCTTTCCTCTTCTCTTTCCCCTCCACTCCTCTCCTCTCTCTCTTCCTCTCCTCTCCTCTTCCCCCTCCACTCCTCCTCCTCTCTCTTCTCTCCTCTTCTCTTCCTCCCCTCCACTCCTCTCCTCTCTCTTTCCTCTTCTCTTCTCTTCCCCCTCCACTCCTCTCCTCTCTCTTTCCTCTTCTCTTCTCTTCCCCCTCCCCTCCTCTCCTCTCTCTCTTTCCTCTTCTCTTCTCTTCCCCCTCCACTCCTCTCCTCTCTCTCTTTCCTCTTCTCTTTCCCCTCCACTCCTCTCTCTTTCCTCTTCTCTTCTCTTCCCCCTCCACTCCTCTCCTCTCTCTCTTTCCTCTTCTCTCCTCCCTCCCTCCTCTCTCCTCTCTCTTCTCTTTCCTCTTCTCTTTCCCCTCCACTCCTCTCCTCTCTCTCTTTCCTCTTCTCTCTTCTCCCCCCCACTCCTCTCCTCTCTCTTTCCTCTTCTCTTTCCCCTCCACTCCTCTCCTCTCTCTCTTTCCTCTTCTCTTCTCTTTCCCCTCCTCTCCTCTTCTCTCTCTCTTTCCTCTTCTCTTTCCCCTCCACTCCTCTCCTCTCTCTTTTCTCTTCTCTTCTCTTCCCCCTCCACTCCTCTCCTCTCTCTCTTTCCTCTTCTCTTTCCCCTCCACTCCTCTCCTCTCTCTCTTTCCTCTTCTCTTTCCCCTCCACTCCTCTCCTCTCTCTCTTTCCTCTTCTCTTTCCTCTTCTCTTTCCCCTCCACTCCTCTCCTCTCTCTCTTTCCTCTTCTCTTCTCTTTCCCCTCCACTCCTCTCCTCTCTCTCTTTCCTCTTCTCTTCTCTTTCCCCTCCACTCCTCTCCTCTCTCTTTCCTCTTCTCTTCTCTTTTCCCCTCCCTCCTCTCCTCTCTCTCTTTCCCCTCCTCTCCCCCTCTTCCCCTCCTCTCCTCTCCTCCTCTCTCCTCCCCTCCTCTCCTCTCTCTCCCCTCCTCTCCCCCTCTCCCCTCCTCTCCTCTCTCTCTCCTCTCCTCCCCTCCCTCCTCCCTCTCCTCTCTCTCTCTCTCCTCCCCTCCTCCTCTCTCTCTCTCCTCTCCTCTCCTCTCCTCTCCCTCCTCCTCTCCTCTCTCTCTTCTCTTTTTTTTTCCCTCCGCTCCTCTCCTCTCGCTCTTTCCCCTCCTCTCCCCCTCTCCCCCTCCTCTCCTCTCCTCTCTCTTTCCCCTCCTCTCCTCTCCTCCTCCCCCTCTCCCCCCTCTCCTCTCTCTCTCCTCCTCTCCCTCTCCCCTCCCTCCTCCCTCTCTCTCTTTCCCCTCCTCTCCCCTCTTCCCCTCCTCCCCTCCTCCTCCTCTCCCCTCCTCTCCTCCTCTCCTCCTCTCCCTCTCCCTCTCCCCCTCCCTCCCCCCCCTCTCCCCTCCTCTCCTCTCCTCTCCCCCTCCTCTCCTCTCCTCTCCCCCTCTCCTCTCCTCTCCTCTCCCCTCTTCTCCCTTCCTCTCCCTCTCCTCTCCTCTTCTCGCCACTCTTTTTTAAAATCCAAACTTAAGCGCAGCTAAACTCTGATATCGCTCTAATCGACTCGTGCTCCGCTCTGATTGGTCAGAACGCAATAGTGTGGATTCATAGAAAGACTTGAGGATGACAATAAACACTAAAATCGACACAAAAACCGTCCTTTGTGAAAGCTGTAGGTTGAGAACAAGGTGCTTTAGTTCACACGGAGGTCTATGGGAAAAATCTCCTTACAGCCTGTGTTGATTTAAGCTGCAGTACCCTCTAGTCCAGGCATGTCAAAGTCAAATACATCAGAGGGCCAAAAAAAAATGTTTGCTACGCTCCGAGGGCCGGACTGGTTCAATGTTTCTCAACATCCAGAGGCAGTGCCGGTGACACCTGTTGGCTCGATAAAATATGCTCCAAAGCCAATCCTCATACTGTACATATTAGATGTAATAGACATCTGAGAACATGAAAATAGTAAAAAAAAGAAAAAGCTCAAACTTGGTTAAATGTAAAAGAGCAGTCTGGACCTCTTTTCGGGGCGTTTTTTGATTAAATCTGAAGAATGGATTATACTTTGGGAAATACAAGTGGATATTCTTCTTCAATAGACAGTTACGGAGAGAAAGAGACTAAGCAAGGATGGGGAAAGTCTAATTTGTTGGAGCAGTAGAAGACGAAAGGTAAAAAACAAATACAGACGTGATTTATTTTGTGCCCATATTATGCGTTATATCTTTTTAATGCAAAGTCTGATCGTTTACACTTACATATAAATATAGCTGAGAAAATAAGCTTTAAAATGATATATAGCTTGTGGCTTATGAAGTTCAAAATACATCTGCTATTGCCAGCAGATGTATTTTTTTCCTCGTTTTCTCCCACCGGCGGGGCTAGCGAGCTTAAGGGGTCAATACATTGCCTCGATGGCAGGCAATGTCCCGGGGGCCATAGATAATTCATTCGCGGGCCGGATTTGGCCCGCGAGCCTTGACTTTGACACATGTGCTCTAGTCCATGTTGAGACGGGTCCAACCACCCTTTGCAGCGGCACGTGGCACTGTGGTTTACATCACAGCAAGAAGGTCCTGGGTTCGATTCCACCTCCAGACAGGGCCTTTCTGTGAGGAGTTTGCATGTACCACTAAAAGCATCTACAATAGGTCCTATACAGGCAACCCTGCTCCCTTCTCTGTATGGGGTGAGGTAAAGTGCTTAATGCTTTCATCCTCACAACAAAGAAAACAGTTGTTCCTCTGCTTCAAACACACATTAAAAAGAGGTGTTGGATTGCGTGTGTGTAAGCAAGTAATCTTTAAGTACTTAGCACTTTTCTTGTGTGTGTGTGTGTGTGTATGTGTATTGAAGTGTGTGTGTGTGTGTGTGTGTGTGTGTGTGTGTATTGAAGTGTGTGAGGGTGTGTGTATTGAAGTGTGTGTGTGTGTATTGAAGTGTGTGAGGGTGTGTGTATTGAAGTGTGCGAGTGTGTGTGTATTGAAGTGTGTGTGGCTGTTTGTGTACCCGGAGTGTACCTGCCCCACGCACCATTGTGAGACATGCCCACGGAAAGGCACTTCTGGAAGCGGCAGTATTGGCACTTGTTGCGGTTCTTCTTCTGTATTTTGCAGTGACGGTCGCACTTGTCGTACTCCAGCTTCAGCCTGATGGTTCTGCGGAAAAAACCCTGGGAAACGAACACAAAACACAGCACGTTTCTATATGAAGACGGTACTGGTTGTATGATGCTTAACACTATAAATCCCACTGCAGTCAATTGGATGGCTTTTTGTTTTAGAAGTGTAATTATTCTACTTATGTATGTTTTTGGTCATCATAATCTTGTGACCTTTTCGGTTTCTATATGATACATCATTGTTTTTGCTCGAGAGATGTCAAATTCTGCACTTTGAGCCTTAATTTGACCCCTGAACATGCATGAAAAGTTGTAAAATTTTGCCCAAAAATCAGACCTGGTGAAAAATTTGATATTTTGGTGTTTATTTTTATTGGACAGAACAGCGCCAGCTACAACAGCCAAAATAATTCCCCCATGGGAGTTTTGGAGATCAAGTTTGTTGTATAGTCATGAAATTTGATACACATGTTCCTCAAGTCAAGACAAGAAAAAAATACTATTATGGCCCCGCCGTCTGACAAACAGGAAGCCCATAAATTTCACTGCAAAATGGAAAAATGAACATCAAAAGTTTTCATACATGTCGGTTGGAAAGCGACTCCTCCTCGGCCGTTTCACCGATTCGCCTCAAAATCGCTCCACATCATCTCAACACATGTACCATCAAAATGACCTCAGGGATTTTTGATCAGTGAAACATTGTTCGAGCAGCGGAGCGGCAAAATGTGACCTTTTTTTGTCCGTTTTTGACAACATTAAATTTGCTCCCGTTTGCACAACTCTAGGGTCTAGGTCATTTGAAAGTGAAATGATTCAAATTGACACATTAGCGCCCCCTACAGACTATTTCAAAGTTTTAGATGGGCATTTTCAAATTTAGTTTTTTCAAAACGTTTGAAATTTTGCACATAAATCTGTTTTGCCCTGTTGATTCAAAAAGTCAATTGGGTCCAAGGCTTATTTTTTACCCTGTTGCCATGGCGATGACAAACGCTCCCCATTCATTGCAAATGTACACCTCACACAAACATCAAACCAGCCTCGGCCGTTTCACCGATTCGCCTCAAAATCGCTCCACATCATCTCAACACATGTACCATCAAAATGAAACGTTGTTTGAGCAGCAGAGCGGCAAAATGTGACCTTTTTTCCCCATTTTGACGATAGAAACAATGCTGGCTTTTGCACAAACCAAGTCCGAAATGTACCAAATTTGATTCGCTTGTTCAAGTTTTGGGTTTGGGTAAACTGAAAGTGTAAAATATTAAATTGTAGCATTAGCGCCCCCTACAGACTGAGTCAAGTTTTACATGGGTGAGAATGGCATTTACTAAGTCTGATTTGCACTAAACTTGACTCGGTTGTTCAACTCCTGGGCCTAGGTCGCCTGAAAGTGTGAAAAATTACATCCCATTAGCGCCCCCTACAGGCTGAGTAAAACTTTTACATAGGGGACACAGCGCATTCAGTATTTCTGCTGTTTGATCTCACACACTATTTGACCCAAGGAGTGGGAGTTGCGCGGGGCGGGGAGGCACCATCTCCTTGCAGTGCGGCGTGGTAGGGGGCGGCATGGTAGGGGAAGGCTTGGTGCGGGGCGGTGCGGCGCGGGGAGGCGAGTCTCGCGGTGCGGGGAGTTGCAAGGGCGGCGAGGGCCGTTCGACGCCGCTTGCGGCTTTAATTTAAATTCGGCTTTACAGGACACTCAAAGAGGCATCGCATGTCAATATTTATTCATTCACTCAAAACAAGGTGGTGATAAACGACCACTATAGCCACAGCTGCCCTGGGGCACTCAGACAGAAACAACGCAACTAGTCTTTACGACCATCATAAACTATTCACACACACACCAGACTCATTCTAGGTAATGTAGGTAAAGTGTCTCAGCTAAAGACACAACAACAGTTTGGCACTTTACAGCCCCACTGTGGCACCTGGTGTTCTCAGAGGTCTCCCATCACAATACTACCCAGGCCCAGCCCTGCTTAACTTCAGAGGTCTAACAGGATCAAGTTGAACACAACGTTTAGCATGGTCCATTTATATACAGGGTTTGAATGTTAGCTTGGTTTGAACACTACAGGTACTCGGTATGCTAGATGTGCTGCTACTGAAAAGCAAGATGGCCGACCTCCTCTTCAGTCAAACAAATGTGTTGAAAAGAGTAGATTACGGAGCCACAGGATAAGAGGAGAACTTTGAACGGGAAAAATCCTTGGATATGATTTATGGAGGATGAACCCTGCAGTTATGTTTCACCTTTAGGCCTGCGCTGTACTAAACCATCGCAAAGTCACCTGGTTTTATAGTTTTATGGTATGACCACTTGACCTCAGCGCGCACACGTCAAAAAGCTTGTGGTCAGAAAAACACGTGAAGAGATCAGAGTTCAAGGAAAGACGAGACACGTGGTTGGTGACCGCGGAGCATGGATCTAGAATAATAACTGGATAGAGTATTACTAGCTTGTCCCACCCATGGCCACAGGGGGCGCTGTGGTACTGCAGACTAAATTCACAAGGGCTACCCAGAAAAAAGTCCCATAGAACTCAATGTAAACTAAAACAGCTCGACCTCAGCTGACAGAGAACCTGACAGAGAACCTGACAGAGAACCTGACAGAGAACCTGACAGAGAACCTGACAGAGAACCTGACAGAGAACCTGACAGAGAACCTACAGCTTTCATAAAGATCGGATTTTGTGGGGATTTTAGTGTCCTTTTTTTCTTCTTAAATGGGCGGCAGTAGCTCAGTCGGTAGAGCTTTGGCCTTTGAGCCAGAAGGTCGTGGGTTCAAGCCCCGCTCAAGACTTTCACCATCGACTCCCTCTGACTACTGTCGTTGTGTCCTTGGCAAGACACTTAACCTCTAGGAACACCAGCCACAGTGGGGCGGCTGCGGCTGTAAAGTGCCAAACTGCCGTTGTGTCCTTAGGCAAGACACTTCACCCCCATTGCCTAGAATGAGTCTGGTGTGTGTGTGAATGGTTGGTGGTGGTCGGAGGGGCCGATGGCGCATACTGGTTGCCTCGCTTCTGTCAGTGTGCCCCAGGGCAGCTGTGGCTACAGCAGTAGTTTATCACCACCGTGTATGGAGTGAATGAATAATGACACATGTGAAGCGTCTTTGAGTGTCCAAAAAAGCGCTATATAAAACCGATGCATTATTATTATTATTAAATCCTTCATTATTATTATTAAACACTTTACTGCCACAAACTCTGCTCCTTTCCTTCCCGCTCTGATGAACTGCTCTGATTGGTCAGAGCGTGGCCGAGCCCCTCTGTGCACGTGCATGAAAGCCACACATGTGTATTTGGCGCAACGCATCATGGGAGATAATCCACTACAGAACCGGGAGGACCAGACAATGCCCAAATATAGTCGAGTTCTGCTAATCTCCCGGGCTCCATGAAGTCCCATGCGCCATCTTGGATCACCGGGGCTTACCGCAGAGACACATGGTCGGTTTTAATGGTATTCAAATATTTAATTACATTTGATTTGTTTTTGTTTAGAAATCACAAAAAGACAGAGAATCAAACAGTTCCAACACAGGAAATGCAATGACTCAGGACTTCTGATGTGCTGAGAAGAGAGAGAGACCAGAGAGAGAGACCAGAGAGAGACCAGAGAGAGACCAGAGAGAGACCAGAGAGAGACCAGAGAGAGACCAGAGAGAGACCAGAGAGAGACCAGAGAGAGACCAGAGAGAGACCAGAGAGAGACCAGAGAGAGACCAGAGAGAGACCAGAGAGAGACCAGAGAGAGACCTGAGAGAGACCAGAGAGAGACCAGAGAGAGACCAGAGAGAGACCAGAGAGAGACCAGAGAGAGACCAGAGAGAGACCTGAGAGAGACCAGAGAGAGACCAGAGAGAGACCAGAGAGAGACCTGAGAGAGACCAGAGAGAGACCAGAGAGAGACCAGAGAGAGACCAGAGAGAGACCAGAGAGAGACCAGAGAGAGACCAGAGAGAGACCAGAGAGAAACCTGAGAGAGACCAGAGAGAGACCTGAGAGAGACCAGAGAGAGACCAGAGAGAGACCAGAGAGAGACCAGAGAGAGACGTCACATGTTCTGAGTGAGTGGCGCTGACCTTGCAGCCCTCGCAGGCGTGGACGCCGTAGTGATATCCTGAGGCACGGTCCGCACACACCCGACACTCCAGACTGAGTCCTGAGCTGGAGGCCGAGAAGTCGTCTTGGCTCGAGACCATCCCGAAAACTGAGGAGGGACTGGAGGCTGGGGTCAGTGCATCTGCAACACACACAGATGTCGTAACACACAGAGAGACAGCGTGTCACACACACAGACGTTGTAAAAGTGTGTTATGTAGTTCCGTGCACGACCATAGGGGGCATATCAAACTTTTGGGGGCAGTGTGTTTTGACCCGGACACACATTTCACTATTTGTAGAGATTTTGGCACAAAATGGGGACCTAAAAAATGTCCCAGTTTTTCCTCAGGTCCCCGTAGTGAAGGTGTGTATCATACAAAAGTCCTCATTTGTAGACAAAACAAACGCTGTAACACACACACACACAGACAGACAGAAATGGAACACACAGACACACACTATAACAGACACAGAATACACACCCACTGTAAACACACACACAGACACCGTAACAGACACACACACCATAAGAGACACCGTAACACACACAGACACCATCGTAACAGACACACACACCATAACAGACACACACACAGACACGAAACACACACAGACACCGTAACACACACATACACCGTAACACAGACACAGTAACAGACACATACACCGTAACACACACACACACAGACACGGCAACGCACACACACAGCATCGGCCACTCCACTGAGAAACCAGTAAATGACGCCCGACACTAGAACTCCCTGAGCAGTCAATTTGACGGCTTTTAGTTTAGTGTAATAACTGAAAATTGGCGACAGAGGTCTACAAATATTGCAAAACTATTGAATCGTCACATTTTTGCCAATTCCCGCCTCTAACACAAAGTCCAACCCTCTTGAGTCTCGTCTCACTGCGATCGTAAATACTCCGGGTCTGTTACATGTTGTGTATTTGTAGTATCTTATTCTGAACATATTTAGAGTGTGTAGTGATCACTTTTACTGTTGTACATGTTTATATCAGACCCAAACAGGATCTTTGCCTCATAATACACGTGTCCCTCCTCCGTCCTGATCCCGACCACGACAGCCCGTTCCACTACAGTATCTGAAGTATTTATTACAGATGGCGGTGCTATGTCTGCGGCCGCTCACACTCCCCACGTCGGGGTTGTGTTACCGATCTCCTGCCCAGATGACAGGTCAGCAGGTTCCGCACGGGGCCTAGCTGCAAATAGCATGGATTAAATAGCTCCAAACATCAAGCAGATCTGGGATTCAAATCATTTGGAAACCTATCTGTACTTTCCCCCGCGTGGGGCAACGCCTCTGTTCTGCCTCCATAGACTGTATATCAATGGGCAATTCTCTCTCTCTCTCTCTCTCTCTCTCTCTCTCTCTCTCTCTCTCTCTCTCTCTCTCTCTCTCTCTCTCTCTCTCTCTCTCTCTCTCTCTCTCTCTCTCTCTCTCTCTCTCTCTCTCTCTCTCTCTCCTCTCTCTCTCTCTCTCTCTCCCTCTCTCTCTCTCTCTCTCTCTCTCTCTCTCTCTCTCTCTCTCTCTCTCTCTCTCTCTCTCTCTCTCTCTCTCTCTCTCTCTCTCTCTCTCTCTCTCTCTCTCTCTCTCTCTCTCTCTCTCTCTCTCTCTCTTCAAGTATCTGTGTCTTTACCGCCGTGACTTTGTGTAGATTTCACACCAACGATTAGTTTTAAAGCATTAAAAGTGTTTCTCCTCCTTGTGTTCTTTGTCCTCACAGAAGCACTTATTGTAAAAGTAAAATGTTGTAAACAAATCGGACGACATCATACCGTCTTCAAAAATGTACTAGTTCAGAGTCACTCTTTGGGCGGCCAAAAATGAACGCATAATGAAACTAGTGATCGCCGAGCTCAATGAAGCCCAATAAAGAAGTGCTCAAGGATGAAGTTTTGCTCCAACTTGCTCTGCCTCCTATTGCCTCCTCCTACTCCTGTGGCTCAGTCACTGCTTCTGTCACGAACACAAACCTGTTGTTTAGCACTTCCTGGTGTTCATACTCCTTAAAGGATTGACCAATCAGAATCCTTCGTTTGCGGGGGTCTTGACAGCACATCTTCCCCTGTTTTGGCGCAAAGCTAACACTGTCAGAACCGAAGCCCATTCAGGGACATTGGCTCCAGCTAGCTTATGTTCAAACCTGCTTCTTCTGCATTAAGGCTAACAGTTGTCCCCCGTAAATGAAGGCATCTGATTGGTCAATCCTTGTAGGGCTCTTATCTGGATTTACAAAGACAATATTACATTATAAACACCAGGATCATAAAGAGCGCTAAAGCATGGATTTGTAAAGCCCAAAATGTAAATTTTCATCTGTATACAGTCTGTGTTAGCATTGTCCATCTGTATACAGTCTGTGTTAGCATTGTCCATCTGTATACAGTCTGTGTTAGCATTGTCCATCTGTATACAGTCTGTGTTAGCATTGTCCATCTGTATACAGTCTGTGTTAGCATTGTCCATCTGTATACAGTCTGTGTTAGCATTGTTCATCTGTATACAGTCTGTGTTAGCATTGTCCATCTGTATACAGTCTATGTTAGCATTGTTCATCTGTATACAGTCTGTGTTAGCATTGTCCATCTGTATACAGTCTATAGGGGGTACCTAGCACAGTGGATCCCTCGGAGCCGTTGCTGGACTGGTACTCTGGCAGGTCCAGGGAGCTGAGCGTGTCGTGGTCCATGCAGACGTCCTTCAGCTCGTCCATCTCGCACATGAAGCCATCGTCAGGACGCAGGGGACTGTCCAGCTCCGAGTCCCCCACCACCGGCTCCTCCAGCGGGGAGCAGGGGCAGAACTGAGTCTCTATGTCGACCATGGCGGGGCAGGGGGGGGCCGCGGGGGTCACTCATCAGACTGAGGCAGAGGGAGAGGAGAGAAGGTGTTAGTACATCACAGCAGTAGGATCAGGAGCGAGACAACCACTGTCCAGAAAAGTCCTGGATCATTTCTGCATCAGCAAGGAACCACCAAAGCAACAGGGAGACCCATAATGAGAGAGCGATTTACTCCCACAGACAGACAGGCTTTAGATCCAGGACTGAGGCTGTAGGAGGCTGTAGACCCAGGACTGAGGCTGTAAACCCAGGACTGAAGCTGTAGACCCAGGACTGAGGCTGTAAACCCAGGACTGAAGCTGTAGACCCAGGACTGAGGCTGTAAACCCAGGACTGAAGCTGTAGACCCAGGACTGAGGCTGTAGACCCAGGACTGAGGCTGTAGACCCAGGACTGAAGCTGTAGACCCAGGACTGAGGCTGTAGACCCAGGACTGAGGCTGTAGACCCAGGACTGGGGCTGTAGATCCAGGACTGAGGCTGTAGATCCAGGACTGAGGCTGTAGACCCAGGACTGAGGCTGTAGATCCAGGACTGAGGCTGTAGATCCAGGACTGAGGCTGTAGACCCAGGACTGAGGCTGTAGACCCAGGACTGGGGCTGTAGACCCAGGACTGAGGCTGTAGACCCAGGACTGGGGCTGTAGGTCTATCTTGCCCATTTCAAAGCCAGTCCGTTGCTCTCAAACCTGTTTTTGCTCCGTATCAGTTTTCATGAAGAAACCAGTTTGTTAAGATTAGTTCTGGTCTGATTTGGTCCCAACAGTTTCCGCTGGAGAAACAGAAAGATGAACCCAGCTTAGTTCCTGGATGTTTGTCTTTTTGACCAATGTTGTTATTCTCTGATTTTCTAACTAACTGTTTTCAAATCCACAATATTGTCTTTTGGAGATGATGCAGCTGTGAGATGTGGGCTGTAGACGTAAACATTCAAGTGTCAGGTAAAGTATCTGGACTTTAAAAGGTTATACCTCAAAAACTACATTTACTATCGTAGATTAGAAAAACATTTCAAACACAGACATATCCCAGAGACACTGTGGATGAAATCAAAAGGAAAGATTGACAAATACATTTTAAAACTAAATCAGCCTCTGATCTTCAGTGTGAACGAGCCCCTCACATAAGTTCAATTCAACTTTCTTCTTGTATCGTCCTAAATCACAGCAGTTTTCTCAGAGGACTTTACAAAACCTTTGAATTCTCCGACAAAGATCAGAAAATCAAACAAGAAACATAACAGTAAAAACACATGAGCTGCTGGTCCACAAGGGCAGAGACCGGTCCTGGACCATCCACAGAACCAGGTCCTGGACCATCCACAGAACCAGGTCCTGGACCATCCACAGAACCAGGTCCTGGACCATCCACAGAACCAGGTCCTGGACCATCCCCAGGACCGGGTCCTGGACCATCCACAGAACCAGGTCCTGGACCATCCCCAGGACCGGGTCCTGATGGACCAGCGTTACCGACGGCAACAACAACAACTACTACACTGCAAAAAGTCAAGACAAATATGTAAAAATATGGCTCAAAATCTGCAGAATGTGTTGTTTTTGAGCTCGTTGCTCTAGAACAAGATTTATGAACAGGACAAAGCAAAATGGTCTTGTTTTAAAAACAACAAATGTCTCCCTTCACTGAAAAAAATAAATACAATCCTGGTAAGATTTATTTACTAAGAATAACATAAATTATGCTTATTTTTTTAATGGCAAGATTTATTTTTGGCTTGAATGTAGTTTGTTCTGTAAGATTATTAATAGAAAAAAGTCTGAGCAGTGAGTTTTTCAGCTAGTTTAATAGTTTAAGTATTTTTTCTTAGTTCCAGACAATTTCTCTTGTTGTTCAGATAAAACAAGTTTGTGATGCTATATTTTAAGAAAAATCTCAGAAATGTTTAATAAGTAAAACTTGAAATGTATGTTTTTAAACAAGAATTTGGGGCTGGTATTATTTTCTTACTTTCTTGTTCTAGTTGCAGATCACTTTGATTATTTTAAGCAGTGTTTTACTTATTTTCAGTGTTGGAATGAGAAAATAAAGTAACAGTTCTTGATATTAGACTAAAGGCCTTTGTCAGAATGAGCTCAAATTAAGACAAAATCCACTCGATTCAAGCATTTATAAAACCTGATTGTTTTTCTTTTTTTGCAGTGTGTGATAAAGCGACACATGAACCATCCGCCGCCGGAGCTTACGTCGCGGTGTAAACTCTGGACACGTGTAAACTGGGTCAATCTCCCTTAAGCTCTTTCTATCAGAAGCCCCTAATGACATCAAAGCAAGCAGGCGCGAGGGGAGCACAGGGACCCCGGGGCCCACAGGGACTTAACCAGGCTAACCTAGCTAAACGCCTTTACACACCAGTGAGTCGCTCTGGGTTCACCTCAGCTCCAACCTCAGCGACTGCAGCCGTCTGCTCTGTCTGCTGCACACTGGGGCAGTCTTGCACAGTTTTTCCACTGTGGTTTTACTGCAAATGGCAAATAAATTCTTGTATCTTGCAGCTGTTGTAATCCTGTTTTTAGCCCTCTAGGCTTAAGAGTATTTTTTATATTTTAATATGAGTTATGATCATGAACTATTGATTGATTTGGTTTTTGTATGTTTTTTTTAGAGCTATCTACAAATATTTGGAAAACAAGAACAAGTCTCTCCACGGCCTCGCACCAAAGTCCATCTGATGCTGGTGTCATATGAACTCTGAGGAGCACAGGGACTGGCCTCCTGCTGGGACTCTGAGGAGCACAGGGACTGGCCTCCTGCTGGGACTCTGAGGAGCACAGGGACTGGCCTCCTGCTGGGACTCTGAGGATCACAGGGACTGGCCTCCTGCTGGGACTCTGAGGAGCACAGGGACTGGCCTCCTGCTGGGACTCTGAGGAGCACAGGGACTGGCCTCCTGCTGGGACTCTGAGGAGCACAGGGTCTGGCCTCCTGAGGGGACTCTGAGGAGCACAGGGACTGGCCTCCTGCTGGGACTGAGGAGCACAGGGACTGGCCTACTGCTGGTCCCAGAGTCAGGACTAAACATGAGGAGGCAGCATTTCAGATTCATGCTGCTAGAATCTGAAACAGTCTTCCTGAAAATGTGAGACGGCTTCTTCTCAGACAATGTTCAAATCCAGGTTGAAAACAGTCACTGACAACTGTCTTCACTCTTTTTAATGTACTGTGATTATTTATGACGTTAGTCCATTGTGTGGTTGTTTTTATCTTGTCTTCACAGCACTTGGAGTGTGCTACACAAATAAACTGGTCTTGAATCGATGAAAGGACAGGTCTGGTGTCAACACAAACCCACACTCACCTGTATTCATACAACACACACAACCTGTGATCCTGCTCTGGACCTGCTGTTACCACACACACACACACACAGGCACACACACGCACACAGGCACACACACACACAGCAGAGACACACACGCACACACAGAGCAGAGACAAACAGACAGGCGCACACACATACAGAGACACACACAGGTGCACACACACACAGAGCAGAGAAAAACACACGCACAGCAGAGACACACACTCACGCACACACGCACACGCAGCCGAGACACACACACACACAGCAGAGACACACACTCACCCACACACAGGCACACACAAACACACACACACAGACACACACAAGCACACACGCAGCCGAGACACACACACACACAGAGGCACACGCGCACACACACACACACACACACAGAGGCACACGCGCACACACACACACGCAGAGCAGAGACACACACACACACACAGAGCAGAGAAACACACACACACACACACACACACACAGGCACACACACACACACACAGAGCAGAGAAACACACAGACACACACACAAACACACACACTGACACACAGGCACACACACACACACAGAGCAGAGAAACACACAGACACACACACACACACACACACACACACACACAGAGGCACACGCGCACACACACACACGCAGAGCAGAGACACACACACACACACGCAGAGCAGAGACACACACACACACACAGAGCAGAGAAACACACACACACACACACTGACACACAGGCACACACACACACACACGGAGCAGAGAAACACACAGACACACACACACACACACAGACACACACACACACAGAGGAATGCAGTCACATTCATTCTGAGCTGGTCCCACTGAACCATAAGCGTCTCTCTGGAAACAGCTTTTGTCTCTGGTTCAGACACACACAGGCTGCACACTACACAACTACACAACTACACAATCTGAGGTGGTACAGGCCTGGATCAAAGGGTTTTGTCAGTATTAAAGGTACAGAGGAGGTGGAGCATTCTGCTGATACGTGCTCGTCTTTCAGAAAGTGGGGAAAAGGAGACGCAAGAAGTACACTGCAAAAAGTGAGAATATAGGATCCCTTAGTCGAAGGTCGGCGCGCACAAACGGAGCCAAGAGGTTGCCGTGGTGATGTCCGGCCCGAGCTGACGCATTGATCCGGGTCTAAAATAAGCAACAAGGACAACGGCAGAAGCCACAACTTACTACTGCACACAACAAATCAATGCTTCCTGGTGCTTCCTGACGCTTCTTGGTGCTTCCTGGTGCTTCCTGGTGCTTCCTGGTGCTTCCTGATGCTTTCTGATGCTTCCTGATGCTTCCTGGTGCTCCCTGACACTCCCTGATGCTTCCTTATGCTTCCTGGTGCTTCCTGGTGCTTCCTGGTGCTTCCTGATGCTCCCTGATGCTCCCTGGTGCTTCCTGGTGCTCCCTGGTGCTTCCTGGTGCTTCCTGGTGCTTCCTGATGCTCCCTGATGCTTCCTGGTGCTTCCTGATGTGTCAGCAGGAAAAGAAGGCTACGTGTGCATTAGCCGTACCATCTACAGTCACCCAGTCCCCAACCCAGGACCCACTGAGCCTGGACCCACTGAGCCTGGACCCACTGAGTCTGGACCCACTGAGTCTGGACCCACTGAGCCTGGACCCACTGAGTCTGGACCCACTGAGTCTGGACCCACTGAGTCTGGACCCACTGAGCCTGGACCCACTGAGCCTGGACCCACTGAGTCTGGACCCACTGAGCCTGGACCCACTGAGTCTGGACCCACTGAGTCTGGACCCACTGAGCCTGGACCCACTGAGTCTGGGGCCATGGGGTTGGACTCGGGCAGGACTCGGGCAGGACTCGGGCAGGACTCGGGCAGGACTCGGGCAGGACTCGGGCAGGACTCGGGCAGGACTCGGGCAGGACTCGGGCAGGACTCGGGCAGGACTCGGGCAGGACTCGGGCAGGACTCGGGCAGGACTGAGGTGAAACTCCAACATTTCAAAAAGAAATCCTTTTCCAGCTCTAGAAGAACACATGTGTTTACACAACAGCTGAGATCAGGATCCAAAGGGCTACACACCACCTCACATCAGCAACACAACTACTGACACACAATCACTGACACACAACTACTGACACACAATCACTGACACTCAATCTCTGACACACAATGACTGACACACAACTACTGACACACAATCACTGACACACAATCACTGACACACAATCGCTGACACACAATCGCTGACACAATCACTGACACACAATCGCTGACACACAATGACTGACACACAACTACTGACACACAATCACTGACACACAATCGCTGACACACAATCGCTGACACAATCACTGACACACAATCGCTGACACACAATCGCTGACACACAACTACTGACACTCAATCACTGACACACAATCACTGACACACAATCACTGACACACAACTACTGACACACAAATGACACAATCACTGACACACAACTACTGACACTCAATCACTGACACACAAGTACTGACACACACAATCACTGACACACAAGTACTGACACACAAGTACTGACACACAATCACTGACACACAATCACTGACACACAAGGACTGACACACAAGTACTGACACACAATCACTGACACACAAGTACTGACACACAAGTACTGACACACAATCACTGACACACAATCACTGACACACAATCACTGACACACAAGGACTGACACACAAGTACTGACACACAATCACTGACACACAATCACTGACACACAAGGACTGACACACAAGTACTGACACACAATCACTGACACACAATCACTGACACACAAGGACTGACACACAAGTACTGACACACAATCACTGACACACAAGGACTGACACACAAGTACTGACACACAATCACTGACACACAATCACTGACACACAAGGACTGACACACAAGTACTGACACACAATCACTGACACACAACAGCTGATGTCGTCATTTACATCAGCGCAGTGAGCACGTCTGTGATCCACTCATTCTTGAAGTTGGCTGAATGATGATAGATTGTGTTGTATTGATAGAATGTGATTATTGATATTGATATGAACAGTTCACTCTGTGCTTCATATCCTTCACTCTTCACACGATAATAACAAACAAATAGAAGCCGATGGTCCACGGGAACAACAGGGAATGACCACAGTAAATGTTAATAAATGTGCATAAGTCCTGGGTCTTCACTGTCCTTAGACCTGTGGTGGCCAAACCGCGGCCCGTGGGCCAGATGTGGACCTTTGGATGCTTCTATCAAACCCCTGAGTCCTCCTCAGTTTATATAAAAATGGTGTAAAGACATTAAAATCCCTCTATCTCTGCGGCGATACAGATTCTTTGTAATTACTGTAGTTGTGAAAGTGAAGTCGGAGAAATTAGAAAATGATTCCGATGTGACCTGCATCAGCAAGAAACAACTCAACAAACCAGTGAGACCCACAGGCCACAGACCCACAGACAGGCTGCAGACCCACAGACAGGCTGCAGACCCACAGACAGGCTGCAGACCCACAGACAGGCTGCAGACCCACAGACAGGCTGCAGACCCACAGACAGGCTGCAGATCCACAGACAGGCTGCAGACCCACAGACAGGCTGCAGACCCACAGACAGGCTGCAGATCCACAGACAGGCCGCAGACCCACAGACAGGCTGCAGACTGACTCCCACAGACAGGCTGCAGACCCACTCCCACAGACAGGCCGCAGATCCACAAACAGGCTGCAGACCCACTCCCACAGACAGGCCGCAGATCCACAAACAGGCTGCAGACCCACTCCCACAGACAGGCCGCAGATCCACAGACACGCCGCAGACCCACAGACAGGCTGCAGACCCACAGACAGGCTGCAGACCCACAGACAGGCCGCAGATCCACAGACAGGCTGCAGACTGACTCCCACAGACAGGCCGCAGATCCACAGACAGGCTGCAGACTGACTCCCACAGAAAGGGCGCAGATCCACAGACAGGCCGCAGACCCACAGACAGGCTGCAGACCCACTCCCACAGACAGGCCGCAGATCCACAGACAGGCTGCAGACCCACAGACAGGCCGCAGATCCACAGACAGGCCGCAGATCCACAGACAGGCCGCAGACCCACATACAGGCTGCAGACCCACAGACAGGCCGCAGATCCACAGACAGGCCGCAGACCCACAGACAGGCTGCAGACCCACAGACAGGCTGCAGATCCACAGACAGGCTGCAGACTGACTCCTCCAGACAGGCCGCAGATCCACAGACAGGCCGCAGATCCACAGACAGGCTGCAGACTGACTCCCACAGACAGGCCGCAGACCCACAGACAGGCTGCAGACCCACAGACAGGCCGCAGATCCACAGACAGGCTGCAGACTGACTCCCACAGACAGGCCGCAGATCCACAGACAGGCTGCCGACTGACTCCCACAGACAGGCCGCAGATCCACAGACAGGCTGCAGACCCACAGACAGGCCGCAGATCCACAGACAGGCTGCAGACTGACTCCCACAGACAGGCCGCAGATCCACAGACAGGCCGCAGACCCACAGACAGGCTGCAGCCCCACAGACAGGCTGCAGACTGACTCCCACAGACAGGCCGCAGATCCACAGACAGGCCGCAGACCCACAGACAGGCTGCAGACCTACAGACAGGCTGCAGACCCACAGACAGGCCGCAGATCCACAGACAGGCCGCAGACCCACAGACAGGCCGCAGACCCACAGACAGGCCGCAGATCCACAGACAGGCCGCAGACCCACAGACAGTCTGCAGACCTACAGACAGGCTGCAGACCCACAGACAGGCCGCAGATCCACAGACAGGCCGCAGACCCACAGACAGGCCGCAGATCCACAGACAGGCCGCAGACCCACAGACAGGCCGCAGACCCACAGACAGGCCGCAGATCCACAGACAGGCTGCAGACTGACTCCCACAGACAGGCCGCAGATCCACAGACAGGCCGCAGACCCACAGACAGGCTGCAGCCCCACAGACAGGCTGCAGACTGACTCCCACAGACAGGCCGCAGATCCACAGACAGGCCGCAGACCCACAGACAGGCTGCAGACCTACAGACAGGCTGCAGACCCACAGACAGGCCGCAGATCCACAGACAGGCCGCAGACCCACAGACAGGCCGCAGACCCACAGACAGGCCGCAGATCCACAGACAGGCCGCAGACCCACAGACAGGCTGCAGACCTACAGACAGGCTGCAGACCCACAGACAGGCCGCAGATCCACAGACAGGCCGCAGACCCACAGACAGGCCGCAGACCCACAGACAGGCCGCAGACCCACAGACAGGCCGCAGACCCACAGACAGGCCGCAGACCCACAGACAGGCCGCAGACCCACAGACAGGCTGCAGACTCACTCCCAGACAGGCTGCCGATCCCCGTCTCCTGTCCCTTCTACATGCAGGTGCAGTCTACATGCGTGTGCACAGTCTACATGCAGGTGCAGTCTACATGCAGGTGCAGTCTACATGCGTGTGCACAGTCTACATGCGTGTGCACAGTCTACATGCGTGTGCACAGTCTACATGCGTGTGCACAGACTCGCCCTGCAGCTCGGAGACAAACACTAAAGACAAAAACAAGATGGACAGGCTTCCCCACTCCTTCCACCCGTCCCACTGCGCTCTTAGATACTTCTGTTGGAACAATCTCAAACAATCACAAAGCAAGGATCCTACCGTGCGCTCCAAGAACCACCACCAAGTTCTGTCCGAGTGTGTGTGTGTGTGTGTGTGTGTGTGTGTGTGTGTGTGTGTGTGTGTGTGTGTGTGTGTGTGTGTGTGTGTGTGTGTGTGTGTGTGTGTGTGTGCGGGGAGGGGAGGCGGCTCCAACGAGAGCTCCAGGTTAATGAGTAATGGGGGAATGGTGTGGTGTGGGCTGACCTGGGCCGATGGGACGACGTAACCGCAGGAGCAGGTCTGGATTGTGCCCTCGGGGGATAATCTCTGTTTGGGAGCAGCGGACCAAGAAGTGACAAAAAGTATTGTACGGAAACCATGGCAACGATATTTACATAAGATTCAAACAGAGAAGGAATGAAAGAAAGGTTTAATACATTTTTGGGTGTAGCGTGTGTGTGTGTGTGTGTGTCTGTGTGTGTGTGATTATATGTGTGTGTGTGTGTGTGTGTGTCTGTGTAGGGGTGAGTGTCTGTCTATGTGTGTGTGTGTCTGTGCTTGTATACATTCAAGCACAGACACACATGCATGTCTATAGGTGTCTGTGTGCGTTTGAGTGTCTGTGTACTTGTCTGTGTGTGTGTCTGGATGTCTGAGTGCGTGCGTCTGTCTGTGTGTGTCAATGTATGTCTGTGTCTGTGTGTGTGTGTGTGTCTGTATGTGTCTGTGTGCATGTCTGTATGCATTTGAGTGTGTGTGTCTGTCTATGTTCTTATGTCTGTGTGTTTTAGTGTGTATGTGTGTGTATGTACGTGTCTGTGTGCGTTTGAGTGTGTGTGTGTACTTGTGTGTTTACATGTCTGTATGTGTGTCTGTTTGTATGTCTGTGTATGTGTGTGTATGTCTGTGTGCATTTAAGTGTGTGTGTGTCTGTCTATGTACTTGTGTCTGTGTGTGTGTAAGCGTTTGAGTGTGAATGTGTGTGTGTGCGCCTGTATCTGTATACGAGTATGTGTGTGTACGTCTGTGTACGTGTGTGTGTCTGTCTGTGTGTGTCTGTCTGTGTGTGTCTTACTGTCATTGCTGGGTCCTACCACAAACCTTAGTACATTTAGTCACTGATATTCATAACAATGTGGGGACTTTCTCTCATGTATCTTTGTATCTTGTCATTGTGTGTGTGTTGTTAGTGCTTCAGGACTAACAAACCCTGTCCTGGACCGTTCCCACATCATAAACTCTTGGATGCGTTTGTTATCGTCCGGAGCTGATAGTGCTGCACCATCACCTGTGCAGAGACCAAAGTACACACCGTGACTTTGGACTTTTACAGCCCTCTGTCAAATGGACCAATCTGCAACACCAAGACCTTTACCTCGGCCCACAGACTATTTATAGAAACCCTTTGGATCATTAGTAAAAGATTTGTGAGAAAAATCGATGCCCAGAGACAGAGTATAGATGGATATGTTTTATGGCATCTACTTTATTTCATTGATTTGGATTTTTATTGTTTTAAACCAAGGGAGTCAGACAGATCCCTTGGTTCTGTTTAGATTAGATTAGATTTAGACGTTATTATGATTACAGAGTCAGAACAAAGCAACAAAAATGCAGTTTAGCATTTTAAAAGGAGCAATATGTGTAAAAATGTGGCCAAAAGTGGTACTGCAGCCTCTCCCACTCTCCTTGACTCAGGTTGCCAGATATGCAGACGAATCCAGTTGGGGACCATAACAGCTGAATAGACAAGAGTTTTGTCAACAACAAATCTATAACCAACACCTTTTTCACAAAGATAGAAATCCTGGTTTTATTCCTTGTTTTGTTGTTAATAATTTGAGAATCATAACAAGACCTTTTTTAGTTCTGCGCCACATGGTACTTTACCAGTGAGATTAGCTCCACGCGGTGAGTTCTGGCGCCCGGATCACAGACTTTCTGATTGGTGAAACAGTGGAGGGCGGGACATCGATATGAAAACAATAACAAGGTTTAGGGGCTGGAAAACTAATTTAGAAATTCAAATATCTCTGAACTACTGTTATCAGTTAAAGAAGTATTGGAAAAGAGCAGGTTTTATTAATGCTTTTGACAGATTAGGGCCCTTTAAGGATGACTTAACATGAAAATCTTACATATTGCTACTTTAATTTAATGTATAATGTATAAGAGGCGGATGTTCTGTGGAGTCTTCCCTGTCTCTGTGCGCTCTCTCTCTCTCTGTGTGCTCTCTCTCTCTCTCTCTGTGCTCTCTCTCTCTCTCTGTGCTCTCTCTCTTTACGCTGGTAATGTGCTGAAACATGAGGAGGAGAGTGGCCCCCGGTCCCAGAGCGTGCCCTGGACTGGCCCAGAGCTCTGTGGCCCATCACGGCCCGCTGTGTGTGTCGCAGCTGAAGCAATGTCCAGCCGCCCCCCGCCGACGCCTCCTCTGCCTCATCTGACAAGACACCGGCCCTTTTCACAACACGCTCACTGCATTAGAGGTCGGTGCCATGACCTGCCAGAGAGACCGCGATTCTCATTCAAGTCAATGTATTCTTGTATAGACCTAAATCACAACAGTAGTTTCCTCTGAGGACTTTACTAAACCGGACTTAGACCAGAGAATCCAACAGGTTCAAACACAAGAAATGCAATGATAAACAAAACAGAGTTATACAGGGAGGATATGTTCTCAAGACATAGTAAAAAAAGGAAATATTAGAAATGATTTAGTTTAACAATGAAAATATTGTCATCACTAGTATACATGAAACCAAATTCAAGGCAAAGCAAGTTTTTTCGTATCGTAAGAGAACTCAAAATGATAAACAAAACCAGATAGAAACATAAATGTGCTCCTCAGAGTTGGTTTATAAGGCACTAACATGTCTCAGATGTGCTTTGGTGCGAGGCCGTGGAGAGACTTGTTCTTCATTATGTTTCATTTAGCCTTAAATCACAACAATAGTTTTACATCTGTACAGCGCTTCATAATAATAATCATAATAATGCATTGGTTTAGGGCTTTTCCTGACACTTAAAGACGCTTCACTTGTCGTTATTCTTTCACTTCAAACACGGTGGTGATAAACTACTACAGTAGCCACAGCTGCCCTGGGGCACACTGACAGAAGCGAGGCAACCAGTCTCCATCCCACCACCAACCATTCAGTCACACACCAGACTCATTCTAGGCAATGTGGGTGAAGTGTCTTGCCTAAGGACACAACAACAGTTTGCCATTTAACAGCCGCCCCACCTGGTGTTCCCAGAGGTCTCCCATCCCAGCACTAACCAGGCCCTGCCCTGCTTAGCTTCATAGGTCTGACAGGATCTGGCTTTCACCTGCAGGTATGGCCACAAACTTCTAAAATACAGTATATGAAGACTTTGTACTTTTCCGACTCTTTCTGTGGAGACAAACAACATGTGACATTTCTGACGACAAAGCTAGCTACAACGACAGATTTTAGGCTATAAATTAATCTGTTTATTGAAAGGAACGTTTTGTTGATTTTGAAGTTTGTCGGGGGAACTTCCGGTTGCTTCCAGATTATACCTAATGTGACCTGGTGTGTGGGCTCGGGATGGTCCGGTCTGAACTGTTTAAATCAGGGGGGTCCAAACTTTTTAGTAGGAGGGCCACTTTAGCTCACCAGATTTGTCCAGGGGCTGACAACATTTCTGGGCGGCAATTGAAAACAAATGACAATATATACAATTAAAGTGAATGCCTAAATTCCCAAGGTACAGAGCTTTACAACGAGGTGCAGCATGACTATATTAGTGGAGCTGAAGTTGGCTGGATGACGCTGAAAGGTGTGTATTTTAATGTGATTTTTATGATTCTTGATTCTGCTTTAAACTGATTCAACGTATCCATGGTTTTTAGCGCTTACGGTGAATTTGTGCAATGAAATTAAAACGGAAAAGCCGGGAGAGCCTTCATTCATTCAGCTAAAGTCGATACATACATTTCTTGTTGAACCGCGGCCTCTTCTGATTGGTTGTTTTCAGGATAATGCAGAGTTGGAGCAGCTTCAGCTCATTAGACGAATGGACATAAGACCATCTCAGTCCAGAGCTGCTTATGGTAAGACTCAGACCAATCCATCCCAGAGGCCCCAGAGCAGAAGGAGGCCCCGGACACCCGCCCCTGCCCCGCCCCACTCATGGCCCCGGATACAGACGGACAATGCTAACCCGCTAGCTCAACGAAGCCCAACATAGGGAAGTGCTCATGGGTGAAGTTTTGCTCAGTAACCGTTTGTGTCACAATCACCATTTCTGTGGTTTTTGCGCTCTCTGTGATCCTGGTGTTTATATTGTTGTCTCTGTAAATCCAGATATGAGCCGTATAAGAATGGACCAAATCAGATCCAATCCAATCCACTTTATATATATGGCACATTTCATTGAAGAAAGAAAAGTGCGGCACAAAAAAAAAGACTAAAATCCATAATAAAATCATTTTAAAAAATCAACACTCAATATCTAATTATACCAGTAAAATAAAATATATGGACCACACAACTCAGACAGTGTCAAAAGCCAGAGAACAAAATGGCTCCTAACTCATTGACTACCAGCCGTTTTTGATGATTTCACTGATTCTCAGGACACACAGAATATTATGTGCTTTGACTACGTGATTAACCAGATTCTGAAATCTATATCAGCAAAAATAAGTTTGTTTTTAGCTAGTTTTGTTCTCCCGTAAACCCCAGACGCACAGAGGGAAGTTTGAAATCGCTGGTATCGCCGCGGAAATACGTCAACGGCGGTCGATGAGTTAAAATGAGACTAGAAAACTCCACAGAAAGTGCAGTGTGAATATCTGAGGCTTTTGGTGGTTTTGGTCCAGCCACAGAGAAGGTCCTGTCCCCGGGTTTTAAGGTTTGTCTGAGGCCTTACGAGCTCTAGCTTTCCTTAGCAACCGCCCTAGTAACGGCACAAAGCTAACGCAGCTAGCTTACGTTCAAACCGGCTTCTTCCGAAATGAGGCCAACGCTGAGGTGATGTCACACTCGGTCCGTCCACGCCCAGCCTCCCGCCCTCGGCTCTTCAGGGTCACACACGGGTGACTGAACACACACCAAACACACAACTATTGACAACAAACACTACAGCTGTGAAGTCGGCACGCACAACAGAGGGACATATTTATGAATGAGTGATTTTCCAAATACTGTTCAAAAAGTCTAATTTTATTCAGACTAAAAATAACAACTTTTCTAGACCTAAAGTGAAACATTCAAGTAGAAATAAAGATTTGTAGCGAAATTGTTAAATATATTAGTGCCTTTGTGCTAGAATTAACTAAGGATCCACTCCCACGAACTGTAGATCCTGGGTCTACAGCCTCAGTCCTGGGTCTACAGCCTCAGTCCTGGGTCTACAGCCTCAGTCCTGGGTCTACAGCCTCAGTCCTGGGTCTACAGCCTCAGTCCTGGGTCTACAGCCTCAGACCTGGGTCTACAGCCTCAGTCCTGGGTCTACAGCCTCAGTCCTGGGTCTACAGCCTCAGTCCTGGATCTACAGCCTCAGTCCTGGATCTACAGCCTCAGACCTGGGTCTACAGCCTCAGACCTGGGTCTACAGCCTCAGTCCTGGGTCTACAGCCTCAGTCCTGGGTCTACAGCCTCAGTCTTGGGTCTACAGCCTCAGTCCTGGGTCTACAGCCTCAGTCTTGGGTCTACAGCCTCAGACCTGGGTCTACAGCCTCAGACCTGGTTCTACAGCCTCAGACCTGGTTCTACAGCCTCAGCCCTGGGTCTACAGCCTCAGTCCTGGATCTACAGCCTCAGTCCTGGATCTACAGCCTCAGTCCTGGATCTACAGCCTCAGTCCTGGGTCTACAGCCTCAGTCCTGGATCTACAGCCTCAGTCCTGGATCTACAGCCTCAGTCCTGGGTCTACAGCCTCAGTCCTGGATCTACAGCCTCAGTCCTGGATCTACAGCCTCAGACCTGCATCTATAATAGACAAAAAAACAAAAGCAAGTAGTGACAACAAAGCTAAAAAAAGAAAATGCACAAATATTTTAAAATAAATAAATATATATGAAATAACAATAGATGATTTCTTTGCAGAGGCAAAAACCCGGGTCTGGGAGGAGTTCGGAGAGTCCATGGAGCATGACTATCGGTCGGCCTCGAAGAGATTCTGGCAAACCGTCCGGCGCCTCAGGAGGGGGAAGCAGTTCTTTGCCAACGCCGTGTATGGTGCGGGTGGAGAGCTGCTGACCTCGACTGGGGATATTGTCGGGCGGTGGAAGGAATACTTCGAGGTTCTCCTCAATCCCCCCGTCACGTCCTCCGTCCAGGAGGCAGAGGCTGAGGATGTTGGGGCGGATACATTCATCTCCCTGGCGGAGGTCACCAAGGTGGTTGGCAGCCTCCATGGTGGCAAGGCGCCGGGAGTGGATGA